GTGTGTTATTAATGCGTGTTCACTGAGCTGGTAATTCTAAAGGCGTCGCATAAATGATCCTGATCTATTTCAGTTCACTCGTTTCTTTAAGGCTATCGTCATTTGAAACGACGTGTATAGGCAAGGCATATTTCAATTCAAAATCATACATGATAGTTTTGAGGAATTACTGTACTATTCGACAAGTAAAACACAATTATCTGTCAAACACATTTCCTTACCTGACAATCGAAATTTTATCTCCACCTTCAAAGCTACATGAGCTGAGTGGATTTAAAATGAGTGAGGAAGTGGTAATTGTCGACTGAAATATTAGCTACACTAGTGTGTCTAATAAGTGATTCATTGTTTAATACTCTAGCTATTTCAGGAATTACATAATACTAATGTGGCATGATTTATAGAATAGCTAGCAGCAAGCCTGCAAACGATCATTATTAATTCCTTTGAAACGTGCAACAATTATTACAACAGCAATACATAATAAATGTGTCAGATTTCAGCAGAATTCGACACCCGACTTCAATAGAGTATCGCAAAATAAATGTTTCCAATGTTTGAAGAAGCCAATTCCTTTGCTAACTTACCTTTGCTGTGGTAATATGAATTTTTCTATCTTCACCGTTATACTACCTAATTCTAAGAAGTAGTCTACATTCGTCTAGTAAATTATTTCCACCAACTAGTGTTTCACTCCTACTGTTTCTGCGGTAGTTTTCGTATTGCAGCTACACTGTACTTGATGTACATTTCAATTGGTATATCGCCTTGGAATTGTAGTCGTATATATATATATATATATATATATATATACATATATATATATATATACATATATATATATATATATATAGGCTTCCTGTCAACAGATGCAGAACACATGTCTACCTTCTTGATCATATATTTAGTGATAAACTTCTCAGGATAATAATTCTCATCATCGTCTCCAAACACATCTTGTGAACAAATAACTCTGACGCTACACCTGAGGGTCTTCACCCAATTTTCCTTTATACCAGAAAGGAATAAAGCTGTAAAAGTGTGTATACTGACTGTTCCAAGTACTTATCTTATGCAAATTACTTTTTATGCTACCGTCTGGTCTTCTTGGCAGTAGGAGCTGCAAGTGTAAGAGAAACAGGTCCAGCCAGCCACTACTGCTATTCTGGCCTCTCTATCGAGCATTTAAATTCATAAATTCTGTGTTAATTCCCTTAGTTTATCCAATGTTTAGTTTAGTGTTATATTAACGCATATTATCGCTTATTGGTGCTTTTGAAATGTAATCCATCGATACTGTTGCTTCGATTTTATTTAAAATAACATTAGCGTCATTATTAATAATAATACTTCTTTAATTAATATGGTCATATAATAGTAGGACCTGCTGACGAATTTATCTAAAAGAATATTATTTGTTCACTAATCTCGTTGACTTAGAACGTGAGGTTTACACGATTCCCCTCCCCCTCCTAGATGAAGACGCTGACAAAATGGAGCAGTGTTCTGAACACCTTGACCAGCAATCTTCGGATGTTTGGCATGCGATTCGCTCCCGCTAAATGTAAGATGATGCTACAAGATTGTACTGGAGTACATTGACTTTTAGCTTAAAGATAGGGAAGTGGCGAAGTGGTCGGTTTTCGACATAGAACTTTGCACATACGTGCGGCAGCTCAAGTCGCCACACTCCCTCCTTGTAGCACACAGAGCAAGAGAAGAAAGTAGGAGAAATGCATATTAGAGACAGTAAACGGAGGTGAGAGACAAAGGAATAGTAATAACGAAGGACAAAACAGTTTCATTGGAAATCATAAGTCACAAGGAGTGGATGCATCTGCACCACCCACCGAGAACGATTTTGAGCCATGTCACCAATTGTTTCCAACCATTGGTTTTTACCATCCCGAGGACCCCAACCAGGAAGTCTACATTTTCCTACGTGGCTTAGACTAACTGTTGTGGATTTCATTGACTGGTGCCATGTTTTCGTTTGACCGCCGCTAGCTCTTTTCCAGCCTGACCCTATATCAGCTAACATTGCCCGTCGAGGAAGGCGATGACTAAGCATACGTAACACATGTCCTCACCATCTCAGTAGATGTAATTTCACAGTCTCGTCGACTGATTTCCCCTCCTTACCTAGCACTCGATGGCTAACCTCAATATTGCTCACCTTATTATACCACTTCACACGGGAGATGGAACGCAGACACCTATGATCAAAGACAGCTAATCTTTTCATGCCTTCCGCTCTCAATGGCCAGGTCTCACAGCCATAAAGGAGGAAAGAGTGGACTGTTGAGCAGTACACACGCCCTTTGGTCGATAGCCAGCTGGATATCACGTCTACGCCATAGACGGCGTAAACTGGCGTATGCGAAACAAGCCCTCTGTATTCGTGCTGGGATTTCGTCGGAGATCAACCCGTTGGGGCTGATGGTACTCCCCAAGTAAGTGAAGCGGTCAAAGTGCTCTACCACTTCACTTCCTATTTCTAATCTAGGGGTCGGTGAATTCCAATCCTGCAGCATCATCTTACATTTTACAGGGGCGAATCGCATGCCAAACATACGAAGATTGTTGCTCAAGGTGTTCAGTAGACTCTGCATTTTGTCGAAGTGGTAGAGTATGTTAACCACTTCACTTAATTTTGAAGTTGCATCAGCCCCAGTAGGTTGATCACTGACAAAATCTAAGCACGGATGCAGAAGACTCGTTTGGCATATGCCAAATTACTCCATCTCTGGCTTAGTAGACGTGATATCCGGCTGTCTACCAAAGGACATGTTTACTTCTTGGCAGTTCGCTCCGTCCTCCTTTAGGGCTGACTGTGAGACATGGCCACTGAAAGCGGAAGATATCAAAAGTCTAGCTGTCTTTTATCATGGATGTCTGCGCTCTATCTACCATGTAAGATGGTATAATAGGATGAGTAATATTGAGGTAGGGAGGGAAAATCAATAGTCGATGTTGTGAAGATACACCGATTGATATGGTTAGGACATGTGTTACGCATGCATCCCTAGCCATCGCCTTCCTCCATGAGCTATGTTAGCTGATTGACATAGGATCAGGTTGGAAAAGAGAAAGCTAGTGGTGGACAAAGCAAAGCATGGCTTTATCAGTCAATCAGTTCGGTAAGTTAGTTTAAACCAGGCAGTCACGTAGACAAGTGTAGCCTGGCTTCTTGGTTGGGGTCCTCGGGATGGTGATAACCAATGAAGGTTGGAAACAGTTAGTGATATGGCTTAAAATCATTCTTAATGGAGCAGATTCATTCATCCTTTGTGATTTATAATATCCAATAAAATTCTATTATTCTTCCATATTACTATTCTTTTCGCCTAACACTTCTATTTCTTATCCATCTCTTTGGAACCTCTATTCTCTTGCTTTGTTTCCACATGGAGGGATATTAGCAACTGGAACTGCTGCACATCTGTGCAATGTTCTACGTTGAAACCAGTCAGTCAGTCTTTGTTCATTAATCAGTCTTTTGAAATGTCTAGTCAGCATTTTCAATCAATTCGAAATTCATCTTCAGGCTATTCTGTAAATTGACTAATTTTAGCGCTTAACCTATTTGAAAATCTCATTTTGGTTTTGTTTAACACAGTCTATTCACGGTTTACTTCTGGACATATCCAAGATAACGAAAACTAGGCCGTTTTACTCGGTCTACTCACTCAGTGAAAGAAACATTTTTAGGTTTATTAACTAACTTTTAGTATTTCCATGTGTCGTATTAATGTATGTGTAAACCTTCGACACTGCAGTAGTAAGTGATTCCATATTAATTTGTTTATTAGGTGTATCACACACAGTGTGAAACAGTATTATTATTTACCGGACGACAAAGTTTCGAACACAATTTGTTGTTCTTCATAATCACATCTTCAATTGTAATCACATGACTTCGAAACTTGAGTTTTATATTTTTCTTTGTCCTTTCCTATTTGTCGTCGTTGAGGCGGTAGAATTTTCCAGATCTCCAACTGGACACGTGTTGAATCATTCCTACTACACGTATTTGCAGTTGATTCGATAAACAAAAGCTTCCTCTGTCATCAATCTCTCTTTCCACCCTGTTACATTAGACTTTAAAAGTCTAACCTTATCCCCATCCTATTGTGTGGTTGCGTGTGTGATTGTGTGTAACTGCATGTAATGCTATAGCTCAACTATTCTCTAAATTTCTTATCTTATTCGGGTCAGCAGAGACAGTCAGACTAGCGGAGCATAAAAACCTAGCAAAATCTAGATTAGTTAACCCGACAGACAAGGTATGAAATCTAGAGAATAGTTTAGCTGTAGCACTCACTACATGCAGTTACACACAACCACACAATAGGATGGGATAAGATGATAGTTCTAAGATCTAATATAATAGGGTCGAGGGGGAGATTAGTAAAGAAAGCTTTATTTATCGAATCAACTGAAGATATGTGTAATGTGAACGATTCAACACCCGCCCAGTTGGAGATCTGGAAAATTCTACTACCACAACGACGACAAATAGGAGAGAACAAAGAAAACTGCAAAACTCAAGTTTCGAAGTCGTGGGATTATAATTGAAGATATGATTATGAACAATAAATTCTGTTCGAAACTTTGTCATCCAGTAAATAATATTGTTTCACTGCGTGATATATCTAATAAACAAATTAATATGGAACAACATTCCATGTAGTGTGTCTAACGAAGGTGGCTGTTGTTTCTCCCAGTTGGACCTCTGTGTTTTTCTCGGGGTGAGAGATATTTCCAAGTGACCAACTGGTTATAGTTTCGTGTTCTGGAGGCGCATTCTAGTCAAGTTAGCCAGTCCCACAGTCCGGTACCATACCATCAAAATAAATACGAAAACCCACCCTTCGATTATGATGTCATCCGCCTTCACATTAACTAAATATAAAAATAGGATGATGTCGATTGGTTCTCTCCAATAATTCTCTCCTACCTTTCATTTATGAATGAAATAAAAACCAAAAATCAGAAAATATTCAACAAAATTCTTTTATTTTGTACAGATTTTGGAATGCATATCACCAATCAAAACAAAAGAACATATATATGTACAAATAACCATTTCCGTGTATACCGTCATTAATATGTTGGGAAGAACAGTAGAGCAACACCAAGAGATAACCTCTTAGGAAAGATAAATCTCCGCTCATCAATTCACTACTCTCTGGTGCCTTTCCTATGGTTACGTAGATATATACATACAATTGTCCCGTAAAATCACTGTACACAATATCTCTAGGGAGAAACAATAAAAACACATGTTACTTGAAATGTTTACAGTAATGAAAAGCATCAGATAATTTCTTTTTTTAGTTGAATCTGTTGTTTGTAATCTATCTCCCATCTTAATTAGTATAGGCGTAAAGTGTTAGGTAAGAAGGGTAAATCATTGGAAGAGGTTGTGAATTTATATCGATTAAGATGGCTAGGGCACGCGTTGAGTATGCCAAGACATCGCTTCCCCCCCCCCCCCACACACACACAGCAACATCAGTTGAAATAACAATAGATTAGAAGAGAGTTAGCGGTGGTCAAACCAAAACATCGTATCAATCCATACAGTCATTGACATTTGGTCTGGGTGATATAGTGAGGTGATATAGTTCCCCAGGATGCCAAGAACTAATGGTTGTTGGAGACTGTTGGTAATATTGACTCAAAACTATTCTCAATGGCACAGATTTCCCGTATTCACCAAAACTCTCATGTTTTGCCATGTTCCTATTTTTTCTCCCTGACATTTCTGCTCATTATTATTATTATAAATCCTTTGAGTTCCGAGGGAAACAAGGAGCTGGAAGCTAGAGCTTCTGCTCATTATAGTTATTCACACTAAAACTCAGTCAAGTCTGTAAGGAATTTGAGCCGCCTAACCCCCCCACACACACAAACACCTTTCATTGACTGATATATCTGTTAGAAGAAAGTACCAAATTATCACGAACATGTTTCAGTTTCAACACATAAAACAGACGAAGAACGACGTACATTGACTGTACACAACGATGCATGGCGTACCCTTTGTTAATTGACCAAAGAAGGAAAAGATTTAAGATTGTAATGCATCATTAATTTAAACCTTCAAACTTTAAACTCCCCCCCCCCCGACAAAAGTGTCAACAGAGATATAATGAAATTGTCTTTAAGACTATATGAGTTGTAGATAAGGAGTGGGGGGGTGGTAAAGTTAAAATATGAGATGTTAAAACAAAAGGCGCATATAACCTTGAGGAATTTGCTAAAAAGCTGACCAGTATATTATCAATTATGACTAGTTTAAGCATCGACGTTGGTTATACTCTCAGTACAGACATTCCGATATCAAACTTCATAATCGTATCAAACAAAATGCTAGGGGAAATTATCTTTAGTGGAGGAGTTACAAATGCGACGCCGACTATGCACGCGGTTCGGGGTTCGATCCCCGACCGCCGTACACCTGATATAAACGGTTCGGCTGCTAAACTTGGGCTAACAATATCACACGATAAAAATTTCATAATTGTGCCAAAATACAGTGTGGAATCAAGCGATAATAAAAAAATAATAATAAACTATACCTATATTGAGAGCTTTTATTTTTATGATTTTCTGATTCATTTCTGTGTAGTTTGAAGTAAGGGTAGATATTCTCGCTTCCATCTCCGCCAAAACGAAGCTGCTAAATGCATAGCCTGCCTCTATCCGGAGTTGTATACCGGGACAGTATCTGATGGAGTCTCCATACTAATGTTTCGACAGACCAGTAGTAAGTGATTTGGCGTGAGAGCTAGATTATCTCTACTTTCTGATGTTGATGGTACAAGCGGCCGATCATTCAATATGCGTTCTACTTCTGCCATAAACGTCAATATAGTTTCATCATTTAGATTCTGCTCATTGCATAATTCTTGAAGAATAGCTCTCACTGATCTAATCATTCGCTCCCACACTCCACCTCTATGACTCGCATTTGGAGGCTGGAAGTGCCACTGTATCTCTTTGGACAAAAGAGTATCATTAATCTTCTTCTGATTCCATCCATTCACTAGCTCCTTCAGTTCTCTGTTTGCACCGACAAAGTTGGTCCCATTATCACTGTAGATATCTGTGGGGGTCCCACGTCTAGCTATAAACTGCAATAACGACATGATGAATAACTCAGTCGTTAAGGAATGTGCTACCTCGAGATGTATAGCACGAATCTGAAGACACGTAAATAAGCAGCCATATCGCTTCTCTTTTCCTCGACTCCACTTAAGAAAAAATGGTCCAAAGTAGTCTACTCCAACGAACTGGAATGGATACCATCCTTCTTGCACTCTCGCCATGGGTGGAGGAGCCATGAGCTGCTCACAAGTTAACGTAAACCTCCTCTTACATTCGACACATTGCCCAATAATTCGTTTAACAGTGGAGGCACCTTTAACAATCCAAAAGGAGCGATGCAAAGACGCCAGAACGTGATGCACTCCACAGTGACCCTCTGCGGTATGATAATGCTGAATCAATATTTCGGTAACTATGTGTTTCGAAGGGAGGATTACTGGGTGCCTATTTACCATGGAAATGTCCGCGTACGAAAGACGACCTCCTACACATAAGACTCCATCCTTTACTATCGGACACAGCTTTCTCAGAGAATCAACGCCCTTACAGTCGGGGTGGGCTCCTTTAGCGTTACCGATTTTAATACTTCTGCCTGGTTAGCAATCCATTTATGCAGTCGGAAACCTGCACGACTTAGCAGATCACTTACGTCAGTGATAAACCTACTGGCGGTCTCAACATCCTCAAAGCATGCCAAGCAGTCATCGACATAAAAGTTGTGCCGTACTATATCTCTTACTGTTTCCGGATATAAGCAACCAAAGTCCTCTACTGCCTTTCTCAACGCGAAGTTCGCACAGAAGGGTGATGAAGTTGCCCCGAACGGATGCGCTGTCATCTGAAACTCCTGCGGCTCTTCGTCTAGACAACCATTTTTCCACCACAGAAATCCTAATGCTCCTCGATCGTCTACTGGCACCTTCACTTGCATAAGCATATCAGCTATGTCCGCAACTACAGCAATAGGCTTTTCTCGAAAGCGCAACAGAACACCAACAAGCTCGGCAATCGTATCAGGTCCCTGATATAGCGTATCGCATTGACGGAAAAGACCGTGCTGAACTGTTCAGTACTTAATGTCAAACAGAAAAGACCGTACTGTTTGACGTTAAATTCTGACCAGTTCAGTACGGTCTTTTCTGTTTGACATTAAGTACTGAACAGTTCAGCACGGTCTTTTCCGTCAATGCGATACGCTATATCAGGGACCTGATACGATTGCCGAGCTTGTTGGTGTTCTGTTGCGCTTTCGAGAAAAGCCTATTGCTGTAGTTGCGGACATAGCTGATATGCTTATGCAAGTGAAGGTGCCAGTAGACGATCGAGGAGCATTAGGATTTCTGTGGTGGAAAAATGGTTGTCTAGACGAAGAGCCGCAGGAGTTTCAGATGACAGCGCATCCGTTCGGGGCAACTTCATCACCCTTCTGTGCGAACTTCGCGTTGAGAAAGGCAGTAGAGGACTTTGGTTGCTTATATCCGGAAACAGTAAGAGATATAGTACGGCACAACTTTTATGTCGATGACTGCTTGGCATGCTTTGAGGATGTTGAGACCGCCAGTAGGTTTATCACTGACGTAAGTGATCTGCTAAGTCGTGCAGGTTTCCGACTGCATAAATGGATTGCTAACCAGGCAGAAGTATTAAAATCGGTAACGCTAAAGGAGCCCACCCCGACTGTAAGGGCGTTGATTCTCTGAGAAAGCTGTGTCCGATAGTAAAGGATGGAGTCTTATGTGTAGGAGGTCGTCTTTCGTACGCGGACATTTCCATGGTAAATAGGCACCCAGTAATCCTCCCTTCGAAACACATAGTTACCGAAATATTGATTCAGCATTATCATACCGCAGAGGGTCACTGTGGAGTGCATCACGTTCTGGCGTCTTTGCATCGCTCCTTTTGGATTGTTAAAGGTGCCTCCACTGTTAAACGAATTATTGGGCAATGTGTCGAATGTAAGAGGAGGTTTACGTTAACTTGTGAGCAGCTCATGGCTCCTCCACCCATGGCGAGAGTGCAAGAAGGATGGTATCCATTCCAGTTCGTTGGAGTAGACTACTTTGGACCATTTTTTCTTAAGTGGAGTCGAGGAAAAGAGAAGCGATATGGCTGCTTATTTACGTGTCTTCAGATTCGTGCTATACATCTCGAGGTAGCACATTCCTTAACGACTGAGTTATTCATCATGTCGTTATTGCAGTTTATAGCTAGACGTGGGACCCCCACAGATATCTACAGTGATAATGGGACCAACTTTGTCGGTGCAAACAGAGAACTGAAGGAGCTAGTGAATGGATGGAATCAGAAGAAGATTAATGATACTCTTTTGTCCAAAGAGATACAGTGGCACTTCCAGCCTCCAAATGCGAGTCATAGAGGTGGAGTGTGGGAGCGAATGATTAGATCAGTGAGAGCTATTCTTCAAGAATTATGCAATGAGCAGAATCTAAATGATGAAACTATATTGACGTTTATGGCAGAAGTAGAACGCATATTGAATGATCGGCCGCTTGTACCATCAACATCAGAAAGTAGAGATAATCTAGCTCTCACGCCAAATCACTTACTACTGGTCTGTCGAAACATTAGTATGGAGACTCCATCAGATACTGTCCAGGTATACAACTCCGGATAGAGGCAGGCTATGCATTTAGCAGCTTCGTTTTGGCGGAGATGGAAGCGAGAATATCTACCCTTACTTCAAACTACACAGAAATGGATCACAAAATCTAAAAATCTATCATCGGGGGTTGTGGTGATGATTGCGCCAGAATCTTCGAGAAGAGGCCGTTGGCTACTAGGAGTTATTGCGGAATGCGAGCAATCCGCGGATGGACTTGTCAGAACTGTTACAATAAAAACGAGAAACGGCGAGGTAAAGCGCGATATACGTAAGATATGCCTACTAGGGGGAAGTCATTGGTAAGAGAGCCGGGCACGAGGGTTATTCTGTGTAACATAGTTCATAAAATCCTAGTCAGATTTTGGGGGCCGGTGTAAGATCAATTCAATTCCCATCCTTGAATCAAGTCAACCTGTCCCGGATCAGCCTTGCGTCGTTGCAACCCAATTATCCATGCCTAACGTGTCTTCCCCCCCCCCTTGTTCAATGAACTGTGTGTGTGTGCTTTTACGTCGATCCGTTTAGTCAGACCATTGAACTCATGACTCAATCAGAGTATTTTGTGAACTGTTATTTTTGCTGACCCATGTCTTACTTTGTACTATTCTGTCGAGTTTATCTTATTTATTGATCTTCATCTGTATCAGCCTGCTTGGTTAAGTAGCCAATTAAATTCTATCTTTGTGCCTATGCTCTGTCTATCTCTTAACCGCTCTCTGTTCTCTGCCCTGCCTTACTTGGGTTCATTCTTCTACTGACTGCTTACCTGAACGGTCGTGTCTGATTCCGGCTAGTTCGCAATTTTGGCTTTAACGTTATTCCGCTCTGATAGCGGTACCTTGCTTTCTGTTAAGCGCTGTGCTTTGTACTCTTGAAACCGTTAAGGTTTGTTGTAAATATACATAATTATTGATTTGTTTATTAATAGTACCGTAGAAACAGTGACCGGCTTCTTGTTTGTTCTGGACCGGGATAGCCTTTATCTACGCGTGACTTAATTTCAAGCGATATTGCGCTTACAACCAGGATATATCAGAAGAAAGAATCAGTCCAAGATATTTTAACGTCAGACTTGATTTCGATATCACTATCATAAATTTTATAACGGTCATAGGAATTAACAGCTTCGTCATTTAACTTTCCTTTACATCGGAAAATGAAATTAAAGGTCAGACATTTGTAAGGATTTACAGTTAGACAAAGACCATTTGCTGACTCCTGATGATAGAAAGCTGTTCATCTTAGTGTGCAGTCTAACTGGAAGCTGACTTTCATCAACTATCTCTTTTTACTTCGAACAGCATAAAATTGCAAGCGACTTACTTGGTGAACCATAAATTGAGAAATACAAGTTTTCAATTCTCTTCAAAAGCTGGAGTATATCCATCCTTTTGTTTTAATTTTGTACGATGAAACACAATTCTAGTTTGAAATTTAAAAAAAAAGAGAGAAATAGTAAATCATAAAGAGTCGAATCTTTTCAGTTTGCAAAACTGTACTACCATGTTCAAGATATGCCGTTGTATTCCGAATTATTTAGCTACTATAATCTTCTTAGCAACTTACGTGGCATAAATACACTGGTGAAGCATCGATGAGACAAAATCTTTCGAATTTCGGAATCCATCGTAAGATTGAAAAACAGTGAAGCTGTAAAATTACATAAAATTTGATCATAATACAAAGAAGGTTGTTAGAGCACAGTTAACCCGGGACAGATGTTTCATGGTACCAGGTTGGCTGAAAGCGACACTATATGCGTCAGAGTTGATGATACTATTCAGTTACTTAGGCTAAAGGTAGAGCATGATTCGAATCTGGGGTCAATTGGCTGAAAGACAAGTGCCTAAGTCAATAAGACACATCTCTGTATACAAAAGAGGGACGTACAGAATATCATACATACAGCAAAACTATCAAACTCCCTCTTATGCTCTGATTGAATACATTTTACAACATCTCTTTGGAAGAAACTTGTTCCCACAACCGACCTAGAAGAACTAAGAGTGGATAGATTTCAGGCTTTCTCTGGAAAGCCTCTCATTTGTGAACACGCATTCATAGCCTCTGCCAGGTACCAGCTATTTACTGCCTTCATTCGTCAGAGGTGCTCCTCACGAAAGTAAAGCAGTGAATTCGAACGTCTGGCGTTAACAAACGGACTTTTAAACACCAATTCCTAACCTATGGTGGAGTACACGGTCTTCAGAATCCCAACGAATCTAATGGCGTATGAACCAGTTTTGCTCACCAGAAACCATGGCAAAGTAGCTCCTAATGCAGCTCCACTACCTTGTGGGTCATACCTCAAATCAAGAGCTCGTGGGTGGTGTGGCTCCTCAAAACGACCACCTGCCTCTGTGTCGAGGCATCCTAGCAGTATCCCAGCCCTCAAACAAACTATGCAATTTTGTGTGGTATATCTCATAGTGCGATGAATGTACCTAATTTCTGTTCTCAACATATAACAATAATAATGGGCCACTGAGATCACGCAACACGAATGCTCCTTTTGTTTGTGTTGACCACTTCACTTACTTGGGAAAACGCATCAGTCCCAGCGGGTTGATCGCTGACGAAATCTTACCACAGGACACAGGAGACTCGTCTGGCATTTGCCAACTTACGCCATCTCTAGCGTTGACATGATATCCAGCTTCTGACCAGAGGACGTATGTACTACTCAGCAGTTCACTCCGTCCTCCTTTACGGTTAACTGCGAAACATGTACATTGCAAATGGAAGACATAAAAAGGTTAGTTGTCTTTGATTATAGGTGTCTCTGTTCTGTCTCTTGTGTTAGGTGGTAGGAGTAATAGGGTGAGTGATATTGAGGTTAGGCTTCGGTCGAGTACTATGTAAGGAGGGGAGATCAATTATCGACAAGGTTGTGAAGTTTCACCGATTGAAATGGTTAAGACATGGGTTACGCACGCCTAGCTATCGATCGCCTTCCTCGACTGGCAGTGTTAGCTGACTGACATAGGATGAGGTTGGAAAAGAGCCAGTGGTGGTCAAATCAAAACATGCCTTTATCAGTCAATCAAATCCACAACAGTTAGTTTAAGCCAGCTGTCACGTAGGGAGGTGTAGACTTTCTGGTTAGTTGGCGTCTTCGGGATGGTAAGAACCAGTGAAGGCTGCAAACATTTGGTGATATAGCTCAAAATCGTTCTCAGTGGCAGAGTTACATCCACTCTTTGTGACTTGTTATATCCAATAAAATTCTATTGTTCTTCCATATTACTATATTTGTTAGCCTGATATTTCTGTTTATCTCTCTTATGTGTGCTACATGGAGGGAGTGTGGCAGTGTGTGGAACTGCTGCACAGATGTGCAGCAAAGTTCTACGTTGAAACCAGTCAGTCAGTCAAAGTGATCTGTACACTGGAGGATTCAGCCTCAAAAACGAGGGAAACTGTTCTCCGGGTTTTAAATCACTTTGATCCCATTGGTAAGCAATACCAAAGGCGATGTGAATGCTTTCCAACTACTCATATGCAATAAGTAGTACACAAGCCACTATAGTATATTTTGCTTGCATTGATAATTGTTATTTATCGTATGGTCGTAATAGTTTCGGTTTCCAAAGGAATCGACGGCGAGTTGTCACCTCCAACGATACACAGTTTGCAAATGACGAATTTGTTAATACAAGTTGTATGTCAGTTGGAAACAAAGCAAGGAAATCGACTACTGAAAAAGGAATTATCAACGCACGCTAACAGAAGACCACTATTCACTTACCTTTTAGAATTATTGACACCATCATCCTGTACTTTCTTTTGTTTTGGTGGTGGTGGTGGTGGTAAGCTAGGTCCTTGTTCAGGACCTAAGTTATGAGCTAGGCGTTTCAATTCACCGACAGATATAGGCGTTGATGATCCTGAAGCTGGCAAAGATGCTTTAGGATTTTTAGTATGATTGCTCCGCATACGAATTGTATCATTCAAAATACGTGGCACAAATGAACTGACTGAATGCTGCACCACTTGTTGACTTTTCTCTGAGGTTACTGTATTCGGCAAGGATTTGTCGGGCTTTGAAGTAGTCTCTAGATATGGTCGACAGCTTAAGGCTTGTAGAACAGGAAGAGGTATAGGTCGCCTAGAATAGAAAGAGTAAGGAAAATGATATGAAGGAAAAGGCTTCATATTTCAGTAGGATGAGGCAAGTTATGTTCGGTATTTGGGAGTTTTGGCCTGCCTTATATTCTGATGAACTTACTTCACAGTATTAGAAGTTAAAGCGTTGCAGCTACAGTTTAATTAATACATGTCGACAAACAAAACACGTGGCGATATGCACCACTGTATACTTTTCTGTAACCAGTTCTTGACTGTGTGTCAGTGACAAGTGTTTGAGAAATTTCAATAGTCAGTTTTCTCACTCGAACTTCAAACATGGGGTAATCGAGTGAATGTTGGAACGAAGTTAACGAATTAGTTTTTGTCTTTAATTCGCCATCGAACTAGGATATAAGCTGGTAGTCATATGTATATAATGTATAATTGACAGTTCCTAGTTGAGTGTTATTTGAACCAGGACTTAAGTGAAACAGTCTAGCATTATCTGCAAACTACCCTCTTACTTGTGTACTTATGGTTACTATTCGTTCTTTGGCTTCCGAGTGGAACATAGAGCTATGTGTAAAACTTGGGCACTGTGGTAGTAAGTAATTCCATATTAGTTTGTTTATTAGATATATCACACAGTGAAACAGTATTATTTACTGGATGACAAAGTTTCGAACACAATTTATTGTTCATAATCATATCAATTGTAATCACACGACTTTGAAACTTGAGTTTTATAGTTTTATTTTTCCTCTCTTATTTGTCGTCGTAGGAGTGGTAGAATTTTCCAGCTCTCCAACTGGATAGGTGTAGAATTATTCCTATTACACGTGTTTGCAGTTGATTCCACCATACTTTTGGGGTGGGGCTGAACGTTTCAATGTTCGGTCGAACATAAAAACCTAGCAGCAAAATCTAGACTGGTTGCACCGAATAAGATAAGAAATCTAGAGGATAGTTCAGCTACAGCACTACACACAACCATACAATAGGATGGGATAAGATGACAGTTTTAAAATCTAATGTCACAGGGTGAATAGAGGGAGAGATTGATAACAGAAGCTTTGTTTATCGAATCAACTGAGAGGGGATACGTGTAATAGAAATGATTCAACAACTGTCCAGTTGGAGATCTGGAAAATTATACTACCCTAACGACGACAAATAGGAGAGAACAATGAAAACTATTAAACTCAATTTTCAAAGTCGTGTGATTACAATTGATATGATTATGAACAATAAATTGTGTTCGAAACTTTGTCATCCAGTAAATAATTCTGTTTCACTGTGTAATATATCTAATAAACAAACTAATATGGAACATAGAGCCTTCAACAGCACATCTCCACTGTACTCCGTTTCCTGCCGACAACTTTCATCCGGTTCAATAACTGTCTACAAGCGTTCATTTCATCTGCATACGATCTCCTCCAACGCCCAACTCATCAACCGCTTCGCATTTGACTTTCATTCGACGGACTGGAGTGTGATGCCAAATGAAAGTCTCCTGCGTCAATCTTCCCCCCCCCCTGAATATTTATTCGGTGATAGGTTCTTGGTTGGTGCGCTGCCAGAGTTCCTTCCTTGTTGCTTGCCTATACTTACTTTACTACCAGACATCCCATCCTTCAATATCGAGCGAAAAGTCATTCATGAAAGTTTGCAGCACATACCAAGTCTCTGGACCATAATAAAAGCACTCACTCCTAATCATTTTCCTTGTGTTAAAATGCCGCAGACCTCCACACTTATTTCACAAGCCTTGCTTTCTTAATGCCAGCTGGCTTTGACATCATTATCCGTGCTGTCCCCTGTAGCTGAGATGACTTTCTTAAGATTCCTGTCAGCGTGAGTAACTATGACTCTGTTAAGGTAGCCAAATACCTCGTCATCTAATGAGGGGCTTAGCAGGGATACCCTGCATGCGGTGCGAGGACTGAAATCCTTAGACCACCGTGTGCTTTCCAATATTGGCTTCTCTTGTCAGTCTCCATTTGGCTACTCTGTTCCGTCCAGTGCTCTGAGTATCAACGTGAAGAAATTCACCCGGGCATGGGTAATGACGGGATTGGGGTTATGGTTATATGCGGCAGGCACCTCCGCGTGGCGACCGCTGGGTGAGGCTTATCGAGAAGGCGAACCGAGCCTCAGCAAAGACCTGTTGCTTACATGAGACAACACTCACGACCGGTTACTCAGTCTTGATGAAGCAGCGGTGCCGTCCTTCGGCTTTATGGCGGTGTGCGGGGCATCGGCGGGGCTAGTAGATCTGGGGATTCCTGATGAGAGGACCGGGGCCAATAACAACTGGCTAGTGAGTGGCTGTTAGAGCTGGTAACCCAACCGCTTGGCGCAGCTTGGTGTAGTTGTTAGCCGAGGCCAGTCTCAAGCAGTGTCTTGTGCTATGGGTTGTGGTTTGGAGGTTGGGATCTCGGTCCATGAGACAAGGTTGGTTGGCTCCAGTGCGCATATGTCCCTGAGAGGATGTTCCTGTCCCTACCAGTCGGAGGGGTGGCACCAAGGTTGTCCTGGGATGTACACACTAGAGAATTTGTAAGACCCATCTCAGGGAGTTTGCTCTGGGACTGTTTCAGTCGCTGGGGTGGCTCGCGTAAGCACAATCTTACTCCTCTTTCCGGCTGAGTAACGGCATTCGGCGGTTGGTAAGGGCGCCATGGGTAAACACACATTCCTGCCAGTGGTGGTGACCAGTGCCAGGAATTTTCATCACCCTTTCTCACACAGGTGAATAATGGTTTGGTGAGATATTACAATCCATCCACCAACAGCTTCCCCACCCCACCCCACACTGCATAACCTTACTTTAACACATATTTTTGACTAGTGAAGGGGGCTATTCGCAATAAGCAATAAAATTTGCAGTCATGTTAGTCGATAATAGTTAACAAGAGTGTAAACTGACCTGCTACTCTTATTTAATAACCTACACACACCTAATCATTATATTATTCTCTACAAGGACATCACAACCCAATGATGTTACGAAGAAATCTGGAGTTGAAAACCTAAAGATCTGTGACGCCGTCTTACCTACGACAGACTGATTTTACTGCAGCGAGGTGAGACAGCAGAGAAAACATTCACCCATTTTATAAGTAAGTATAGGCTTTACTAACTCTGAAGACTTAGTAAGTTACTAGACTTGGAATAGATCCCTTCTCTTCACCATCTTCAAGTGGCAGGAGTGCCCCTCACAAAAGTTAAGGGGTGGGTGTGAACGTGTGAAGTGATCCACAACGGAAAACTCAGAGAGGCGTTTGGAGTAAACACAGGAGTCAGACAAGGGTGCTTATTATCACCAATGATATTCCTAATTGTGGTGGACTGGATTATGCGTCAGACAGTGGGAAACGAGAAGACAGGGATATCCTGGACCGACCTGAAGAACCCAGAAGACCTGGATTTCGCCGATGATTCATGTTTGATGTCACACAAAATCGAAGACTTACAAGCGAAAACCCAAAAACTGGTCGAAGAAGCAGCAAAGACAGGACTCCAGGAGAACATAGACAAGAGGGAGGTTATGAAAATAACCAACCAACAACAACAAAAGCAGCAGCAACATCCAGCGCCAATCACCATCAACGGGAGGGATTTGAAAGAGGTTACTTCATTCACTTATCTAGGGAGCATTGTCTCAACTACAGGAGGAACGGCCGAGGATGTCAAATCGAGAATCGGGAAGGCGAGAAACACATTCATCAACCTAAAACCAATCTGGAAATCTTCGTCACTCAGCATCAACAACAAAATTCGGATTTTCAATACAAACGTCAAGTCAGTTCTTCTATACGGATCAGAAACTTGGAGGGTCACAAAGAATATTTCCAACAGGTTTCTGACCTTTATCAACAACTGTCTTCGCTCTATACTGAAGATCAGATGGCCGGAAAAAATCGCCAACAAGAAACTATGGGAACATACGAAACAAGAACCAATCGCTCAACACATATGCAGGAGAAAATGGAGATGGATTGGACACTCGCTGAGGAGGCCACTGGGTGACATCGCGCGTCAGGCCATCACTCGAGTGGAACCCGAAAGGGAAGCGGCGAGTGGTTCGTCGGTGCAAGGGTGACATGGAGGAGATCGTGTGGAGAGGAGTTGAGACAGTATGGACTAACATGGATGCAGGTGAAAAGTACAGCAGAAGATAGAAACAAGTGGAGACGTGCAGTTGAAGCCCTATGTTCCACTAGGAACCCAAGGGAACAATAATAAATAATATAGTTCCTGATTCCTCTCCATTGTTTTTTAGATCATAGTTCAAGTCAAAGGCTCGGGAAGGAGCGGCCCCTTAAGACAATCACCTGCTTCGCTATCACCGTGAGAGCAGCATGCCAACCCTCGCATGAACTATGAGTTTTTGTGTGGCACATCTCTTGGTACACACAGATGTACCGAGTTTGTGCTGTAATATTAATAATAATAATGATAATAATAATGTGCGTGAAACAGCGGTTAGGAATGTCGCCGGACCATGCACACGGTTCGGGGTTGGATCCATGGCCGACGCACACCTGATATGAATGGTTGGCCTGAAAAATTTAGGCTACCGATATCACATGCTGAAAATTCCATACTTGTACCAAAACTACGGTGTGGAATCAAGCTGTAATCAAAAATAAAAATCAATAAATAATAATAATGATGATCAGATTCCATTGGTGATCATTACCGTCAGGATAACAAAGCAGAGATGGCAAAAACAGTGAACTGTATAGTAGTCACTCACTTTTGTACAGTTGCTAAATCACCAGATTGCGGATGATGATGCTGATAATGATGTGATGTTGACGGATGTTGGTCGACATTAGTAATAACAGCAGGAGAAATATTCGGATTTCCAGGTGGATTAACTTTCAACTGATTTTGATCAGGAAGTTGCAGACCAAATTGTTTCCAATACAGGCGTGAATCATCTAAAGCATCACATGGAGGATAGGCGACTGTTTCATTTATTTTATGCATAGGATTGTCATGTGATGAGAAAGGTGTACAAGAGAAATTATTATTCGTTGGTAAACTCTGGCATTCCACAAATTCCCTAGGACAAACATCAAGTGACTGCGGTATTGGCTGATTTGATGTAGAAGGGATTGCGGGGACTGGCTCCGAAGTTGATGCTTCACAAGTCCTGGCAAACTTTTCTCTATAATCATGTTCTGCGCAAAGAAAAGAGATACAGAAAAACAGCATACATAGTGAGTAAAACTCAATATGATGTATATAACGACAAACCACTCGAATTAAAGATGATAATATACATTAGTTGCTTTATTCAATTTATCACACGGTGAAACAGTATTACTTACTGGATGACGTTTCCAACAAAAATTATTGTTCGTACTCATATCAATTATAATCACACGACTTCGAAACTTGAGTTTTACAGTTTTTTGTTCTCTCCTATTTGTCGTCATTGGGATAGTAGAATTTTCCAGATCTCCAACTGGACAGGTGTAGAATTATTCCTATTACACATATTTGCAGTTGACTCGACAAACAAAGCTTCCGTTGTCATCAATCTCTCCTTCCACCCTGTTACACGGAATATACACGTTGGGTAATGGGAATTATTAAAAAGACGGTTGCAGGGAAGAAAATTTTCCTTTCGACGAAGTCGTCATTCATGTATTTATATTAAATGTGTGAGAAAGTTCCAGAATTATTTCCGCTCAGAGGTCAGATTAATAAAATCACTTAGTGTTATAGACAGAAGATAGGTAGTAGTACTGTTCTAGAAATATTTCAGGTCAAAGGTCAAATTAAAATTCTAATGTGCAATAATCAGGAAGATCAGGTAGAAAAGACAAAATAGGATTTTAATTACTGGTTTGTATAATTACAGGTTAAGGACGTAGTATTAACGAAATGGGTAGGAGGTTCGGACATATAAAGATAAAAACAGTAATCAAATCTAACAATGCAGATAGGGATTTAAAAAAGGTAAATATGATAGAAATAAATGCGAAGGTTGGACAAGAAAGGTAACAGGATGGTCATTATTGGTGAGACTGACTTTTCATGATGGCCACGGTAGGGACAATGGTTGAATGCATTTCTTTTGGACACATAGAGTGAGATTGAGTTTCTGGGTCGCCAGCGCTTCAGCTATTCCTAGATGTCTTGATCTCACTCCCTTTGGTAGGTTCGATCGGATCTTGTATATGGTTTTGAGGGACTTTTCAAATGGGGCTGAATGTCCAGAATTCACCAGATGCTCTGTTATCGAACTGCATACCCCTTTGTGTTCTCCCTTTGCTAACCATGCTGGATAGTGTTCCCGCGCACGTTTTACAAGCGGACGCAAGGTACGGCCAATATACTCAGCTCCACAAGAGCAAGTGAACTTGTATATGCATGTTGAAGTGGCCTAATGCGACAGTTTGTCTTTCACGTGCTGGGTGAGTAGCTTCTTGCAGGAGAATATTATTCATAGGCTGGCGGCGAAGTATGTATGACTTCGAAAGCCGTCTACGGAGAATTTCTGATTCGGTATCACTTTTAAATTCGAGGTTCAATATCAGCATCCTTTTGAGGGGCAACTTGGACCTTTTCAGGTGTTTTCCTTGGTTTTAGATTCTTGTCTATGAATCTGGATGGAAATCTATTTTCAATCAAGGTCCCTCGGAGATTTTGTAATTCTTCGTCGATTGACTCTTCCGTGCAAATCTTTCGGATCCTCGAGGAAAGAGAGTATATTAGGTTTCTCTTTCTGCTTAGAGGCACACAGCTTTGAAAGTTAATAAATTGTCCGTTCCATGTAGGCTTTCAGTAGTTGGATCTTCTGCATTCCTTCGTAGTTGAACGTCGAGGAAATTAAACATTGAGTTAGACTCAACTTTTAGAGTGAAATCAACGTTCGGGTGGGCGTTATTGAAGATTTGAAGTAGGGTTTTTTAGATCACAATTCTCATCACAAATAATGAAAGTATCATCGATGTATCTCTTGTAGGGATGAAGGTCGTCGATGGTTGATGATAAGGAGTTTTCTATTCTAGGCTAGCCATAAAGCAGTCGGTCAGGAGGGGTCCTAGGGGAGAACCCATTGCTACTCCACCTGTATATTTCACTGTTGAAACTAAAGTATACGTTGAAGGTGCATCGTAGTAACAGTTCTTTTAGGTAATGGATCGGTATACCGACATCGATGCTATTGGATTGAATGTAGTCACAAATGTGATTAGATCTTCACACTTTGACATCTTTCTTGTACCATAATAAAATACCTAATGGTGTCTGAAACTCACTGTACTTCTTACGTCGGAGACGCAATTCAACACTATGTTGGCTAGAAGGCTTCCTATCAATGAACACAAAATGATGTGCTGGTTCATCCACTCAAAAACTTGTGCAGACTCAAAATAGTTTACGAAAAATCATTGTGAAAATTGACAATAGACAACCAAAGGAAACATCCACAGTCGACAACTCTTCTACAGATGTACTGATGAAGGTGAATCGGCTTACCTACAACTGACTATTGTTTGATTTGCAGTCCATGATGAAACTAAGAAAATGTGAAGCTATTATTAGATAGTTGGAGGCAATAGACAGGAAACCCATAACCTAGGTTTCATACTTGTTGGCACTCGTCAGCAAAGCGTATCTGCAATCTTGAAGGAACTATCTGACTCATGGGGCTATTGGAAAGCCACGAGTGAAATTCTGAACATATTTGGGTATTGTTTTTTCATTTGTCATATTTCCTATGATACCACATAAAATAAATTAAACTGATTCGTAATTTGACGTAGCGCGAATTCACTAAATATGTTGACCATTTCACTTGTTTGAGAAGTTTGATCGACTCAATAGGCTGGTTGTTGGAAATTTTCCACAGCATGAGTACAAAAAGTCTGAATCCATCCATAGGGTTGGCGAAACGCTGGACCGCGAACAAAAGTGAGCAAATTATGTAGCAATATGCTTTGTTCTAACAATAACGAGGCATAATAGTTGCAAATAAAAGATATGAGTATATTACAAGTGTTTCTAAGTGACACTGTCAGGATAGAGGGGAATTATACAACAACAATGCAGAGATCAGGTCTTAAAGGCTATACAGAACTAGAAACTTGAGTCAACCAAAGTAGTTCACACTTGTGCTGCTTTTACACTCATTGAAACATAGTCAATTACAGAAGACAAGGTTAGTTGAAATTCCGTTTGAAATCATTTGAAGTATTTCAAATAAGTTCAATACTCATTACCCTCAAAACCAAGCAAACTGATGTGTTCTATATGTTGGATCTGTTCCTTCTTGTGTCAGTCTTTCTATTTCTATATATCATCATGCTGTGTAGCGTAACGACATGTATGAAATCAAACTAATGCAACTTTATGCGAGGCTTTACTTCAGCATATCCATTACACAACCCTTCTGTGCTCCAATTCTCTGCAAGGTTTGAAGCCAGTATAAGCGCATAAGCTTGCGAAGGTACATCGATTGATATGGTTAAGACACGTGTTACGCATGCCACACCAGTGCCTTCCTAAACCAGGTATCTTAGCTGACATAAGACTAGGCTGCAAAAGGGTTAAGGGTGGTCAGATCGAAATCTGGCATCCGTCTATGAAGTCTTTGACATTTGGTTTGAGCCAACCATGAAGGGAGGTGCAGGCTGCCTGGTCGGGGCCCTCGGGATCCTAAGAACTAATAACAGGAGACTACTACTGTTGGTTTATCGCAAATCCGTTCTCTCAGTGGAGCAGAGATGCATCTACTCTTTCTGATCTCCTTTATCATCCATCGAACCTTATTGCTTTTCCGTGTTACTATTCTTTTGCTAAATGGAGTGCGGCAACTCGAAAACTGCTGCACTTCTGTGCAAAGTTGTTCTATGTCGATGAAACCAGTCGGCGAACCACCTATCAATTCTAGAAAAATGCTTTATTGAGACGAATTCAGTTAGCTAGAAACCAGTGAAAATGGGAAATGTTTGTCGCTGTTAGAAACGACGATGATTACGCAAATAAAAATAATAAAATCTTACCTGCTTTTCGAGATATTCTTGCATTTAAACGTCTACATTCATGTAACTTTAAACGACAATCAGCTATTGTCTCGAATTCAGGAGCATAACATACATGTAAAAAACTTCCATAAAAAGAAGAATCATCTAATGAACGTTTGGCAAATCTGAACAGGATTTTAAGGAAAAATATCATAAAATTTTGTGGAGAAAACAAAAATTAGCTAAAGTATTCAACAACACCACACACACATAAAAAGGTGCGTCAGTGGTACAAAGGTAGAATGCTTGCCTGGGGTTCGATCCCCGGCCACCGACGCATTCCTGCCAAAACCTCGCTAAGCCAGTAATAAGACTGGTAAAGAGGGAAGGTTGGGCTAGTTGGGGCTAGCAACCCCATCCCATAAAAATAAATAAACACCACTACTACCGAAACTTCAAGCCTCCAGCTTGAAGCCTCCCTATGTGCCACTGGGAACGTAAAGGAATAAATTAAAAAAATCGCATAAAAAGAATACATTCTCACACCTTGCGATTTGAACACTTTTATACTTGACTAGAAAAACATCTGTAAACATATCCTTATCCGGATAATCAACAAGCTTCACTAAGCTCTCAACATTTCCATAATGTTTACACCTTTCCTTCAGCGGTTGCTCCAAACCCAATGATGGGACTCCAAATAACAAAAGATAACAAGATTCATCTGCTATGGTAAATACCTAGAAAATGAAGTTAAATTAAATTTGAATGAGTTACTTTAACCGCTGTCTTGCGTTTACCATCACGATAAGCAGGACGAGTATAGCATGGACCTACTTTATCGTGATACGGGAGATGCTTCAACTTGTTTTCGAAGTTCATGAATGAATGGTTTAAGGTGATTTGAACGAAAAAAGATGCTTAATTCATTGTTCTACAAGAATCTAATCAATAATCGAAGGGATTGTATCACCAAGATACCGATCTAAAGAAATAAAAAAAACGTTGGATATGATAAGATGAACTGACAGCAAATGTTTATGATCAATAGTACCAAACAACTGGAGTTATTTAATCGTTCATATCTAACACAGTCTTTAAAATACAATGTTATGGTCGTACTTAACAATGTTGGATGATGTTTGGAAATACGATGACAAAAAAGATCAATTCGTAGCTCTATTGTAGCACACTTTGTAGATAGTGAGCATAAGGTTGACGTTAATACTGTATTTAAAATTATTTATTGCATTCTTACTAATCTTAATTTTGCTCTACGAGGTCGTCTTCTACATACAGCTGAAGCAATAGGAATCCACCTGAAGAAGCCAAACTTGTGTGTTCAGAAGAAATTTGTAAAGCCACTTTCCTTACCTTGGCTATCGTTACATGAATGTATAAACCGGACTACTTCGCCCCCCTCCCCCTAAACATTTAAAAATTATGAAAACTATAATTTTCCAAATTATTTTATTTTTTCTGAACACTTCATCTTTAATTACGTGTTATCCTTGTAAGATTAATTTATTCTAACCATTTCTGCCTTTTAAATGTGTATTGATTTTCTTCGTTAATTATCAACCCATTGACATTTTGACACTTTAATTATTGTTAACAAACATATCACCACTTGTTTGGTAAACTGTTGTGTATTGTAATAAAAATGCTATATATATATTTGAGTATAGCCAGAGATGAGGATCTAATTGAAAAGTAAATGTTTCTTCGCTCAATCTCTCTGTTTTCTAAATGTCTAAATGGGGATTTTTTCTATACTTTCAATATCTCAAGAGGCATAAGAAGTGAACATATCTGAGACATTACGAGACATTTTGAGACATGTCAGTCAGGCAGTCTCCAAATACTTATCCCTATCATTCCGACGATCCCATCCAGGCAGAAAACACCTCCCTACGTAGTTCAAACTAATAATCAAAATTCTCATGGACTGGTGCCATAGTTCTGCTTCATCATCCCCAAATTGATTTTAATCTAGTCCTATTTTACATAATGCGGGAAAGTGTTAGCTCAGCATATGTAACATCTGCCCCCAACAATCTCAATCGATGGAATTTCACAACCTTATCCATTGGTTATCTGTTACTGACCATACTACTCCACCTAGCATGGGAGACTGAACGGAGACAACTACAGTTACAACCACTGGTCTTTTTGTACATTCCACCTCCAACAGCCATGTTTTACGGTTGTAAAGTAGGATAGAGCAAACTACTACACTCCCTGTTGGATATTCAATTATCATTCCTGTGCAACAGATGGGACAAGTTCGGAAATGTTACACAAGCCTTTTGGATCCATTCTGCGATTCAGTCAGCAATCAGTCTATCACGATCAATCCAACTTCTCGAAAAAATGAATTGATCAACACAGTTAACCATTTCACTACCTATCCTTAAACTGGAAATGGGTATAAACCAAAACTGCAGCATCATCTTACACTTATCACGGGCTTATGATCGCTGACTCTACAAGCAATTAAATCAAAACTCATTTTTCAACTTAAATGCCCACTTGAAGACATCAACGTATCTTCTAGTTAACCTAGTTAAGAAATGCAATCAAATTTACTTAGACCTGACATGGCGCTTCATATCCACTGAGACAACTAAGTATTAACACTCGTCCACTTCACTAACCTTCATTTAATATTTAGCCAGACACAGCCATATTAAACACCAACTGTCGACGTTGATTCAATGAAGAGTTGGCTTCGAGACGACCTTTCACTTTACACATACTACTTAGAAGTCGTAAGTAGATCATATAATCTAGAGAAAGGTTTAAAGCGGCCATTACTTAGAAATACTGCACTCGTCGTGTATGAAGCAATTATTCGTCAAACTAAACTCCGAGTGGAACAAATTAATCATAAAGTGATGAACGTGTATATTTGTACTGACAGACACAGAAGTACCTTATTTTGCACTGGGTGGAAGAAATTCACACAAAGATATAACTGACAAAAATGGGAAAACATTTTTTAAATTGTTTTGCAGCAGCGGAAATTCAACAGTAAACATCAAAAAAACTTGATTCTATGTGTATCTAAGGGGTGGTGTGACGTAAGCGAGGTTATAAAGGCAGTATATGCATATTTAGCATCAGGCACATGTCCAAACACAAAATATTATGCATATTATTGGATAGAAATGTTCTGCTCTATAACTTCTTTTTCAGGTTCTGCAAGTATGCATATCCATATTAATGAAGTAATAATATTGTTTAAAAAAAATCAACTACTCAAAGACTTGTTGCTAATGTTTGTCTGTTTGTTTTCGACATAGAACTTCGTACCGATGTGCAGCAGTTCAAGTCGCCACACTCCATGTAGCACACAGAGCAAGAGAAGAAAGTAGGAGAAATGCATATTAGAGACAGTAAACACAGGTGTGAGACAAAGGAATAGTAGTAACGAAGAACAATATAGTTTCATTGGAAATAATAAGTCACAAGGAGTGGATGCATCTACGCCATTGAGAACGATTTTGAGCCATGTCACCAATTGTTTCCAAACATTGGTTTTTACCGTCCCGAGGACCTCAACCAATCAGGAAGTCTACATCTTCCTACGTGGCTTAGACTAACTGTTGTAGATTTCATTGACTGGTGAAGGCATGTTTTGGTTTGACTGCCGCTAGCTCTTTTCCAGCCTGGCCCTATATCAGCTAACATTGCCCGGTCGAGGAAGGCGATGACTAGGCATACGTAACACATGTCCTAACCATCTCAGTCGATGTAGCTTCACAGCCATGTCGATTGATTTTCCCCCCTTACCTAGCATTCGACGCCTAACCTCAGGATTGCTCACCTTATTATACCACTTTACACGGGAGACAGAATGCAGGCACCTATGATCAAAGACAGCTAATCTTTTCATGTCTTTCACTATCAATGACCAGGTCTCACAGCCATAAAGGAGGACGGAGCGACTTGTTGATAATAGTGAATCACTAGGCTGAGTAATCAAAATCTTTGCAATGAAGCTAACAATGTTTAAATTTAAATGTTTATGGAATTAAGTTCCCAATGAATGCACATTTTTAACGAAACGCTATATTATAAAACTGAAGTACCCCAGAGTTTTAGTGAAATTGACTAATATACTTGTGAGCACTTTCCACTGTGGTTAAACATAGGTATTACAAAGACTGTAGGTGCCTCTATATTAGACAACAAGGTCCACATGGACTGCAAAGTTAACATAAACCTGATATTTCCCCTACAAACTCGCCAAAGCAACTAAACTTCAAATTAAGCAAGTAGCAAACGCAATAACACTACGAATAAAAAAGCCTTAATTACGCATTCAGAAGAGCGCACATTTACCAGTAACTTAGCCTGCTTTAGAATCAAAACGTTCAATTCTGTTTAGTTGTTATTAAGCCTTAATACATTTACAAACATGAAGTTAATAGTTTTATTGGATAAGATTCATTTTTAAGCTTTAATCACAATCATGCATTTTCGTTAAACTCAAAATCACTTTTAGTAGGTATTCACTTTGAAAACTCTAGAATATTTCATTTTTGCAGCAGAATTTACTCTGAACACTTAATCACATTAGTTTTCACTTTGAACTTAATTCCGACAGCATCTAAATTTAGATACTGTAAGTTCCAAAGTGAAGAACTTAATTATTAAACTTAATGATTTATTGTAACAAACGAAAATTCATGTAACTAGTACATACAAATCTAGTATTTACCTAATATGATTATACCTAAATTTAAAGCGTGAAAAGAAAATTATCAAACAGAATATTCTTTGTTTAGCAAGTTAGCTAAGTTAATATGGGAATCTTCAAAGTGCATATGTATATGCTTAATCTCAGCATATTATTCCAAGAATGACTTTAAAATAAAATTACCCATTTATTTTCACTTATAGTTCTGTCATTAGGAAGAAAACTAATCAGCAGAAATTATGAACAGTAGCTATGTCTCAGTAATACGGGAAATTTCAATAACTTTTCCTATAAATTCTGTACCAATAGCTGAAGCTAAGCACGTATCTGCATAAATGATGTCAAATAAAAGTGCTTCAGTGTGAATGAAGCAACGAATAAACAAATACATATACCTAGTACAAATAGGAAGAAATAACTCATGCAATCACCACAAGTCAATACTTAGAATATCAAATATCCATAGGGTATCACTTTAAAACCACAAAAGGCCAACTAGATAAGACGTGAATACCGTTAGAAACTTCAAAATAACTAGGTATATATATAATATATATATATATATTAGCCATTAAAAACTTATGAATAGTGGATCATATGGTTTTATTTCGAAACAACCAGCTGACCTAAAACGAAAGACTGAAAATAAACGAAGCATTACTCAATTATGTGTCAAACAAGATGCCATACGAACAGAGAACAAATTCACACGACACATTTTTCCATGTATTGATGCGTTACATACAAATACCAGACCATCAAAAACTTGACATCAATGGATGAAGACGTCGTGGTTCACTTCATTTCTCAAAACAAGATGTGAACTATAATTGATAAAGAAACTTCTTTATTTATTTATACACACAACTCTCATGATGTACTCATTTAGCAAAAGACACCTAATGTAGAACTAACATACACTTCAACTAACAATTAACTTTCATTTTGACTGAAACGTTTTCAATAACAGCATACAGTCGAATGTTAATGAGACCTAGATGAAAGAGTGTCGCATCGGATCTGCGAAGTAGACTTATAATCGATATATATTAGAACGGTGAATTATGTGACACAACTGAAGACATCGTATTAAATACAAACACCTGGCGAGTTAAGAACTTTGGATAAACTGACATATGTGAGCGTGACGGAAGTCTGAGAAAAATAAAACTGGAAAGAGAAGTGAATAGAGTAGCACAACACAGATCACAGCCAAAGGTAAAACTACGAAATCGTTATCGCAGTAATTTCAACTACTAAACACAGTAGAAAGTAAAGATTTGCAGTGTTCAAGACACAGAGTGTGATCACTATAATATTTGCCTAAGAACTGCGATACTGTCTGGGTGTTCAAAGTGAAGCAAAGAGGCCATTCCCAGAGCCCTTCACTTCAATTTAGTACACAAGGTAGAACAAAGTGGGGAAGCCCATCATAAAAGGGAATCGAAGTAACTACTTGCAAACACCAGCGACCCCCGCACATCAGAATACATAGCTTTAACCTTACGTATATTAGTCATGTTACATTGCAAAAATTAGCAATCAACTTCTATGTCCCGACCTTGGCAATTAAACTGGTTGCTCCTTATCTCATGACCAAATTCCTGAATACACAGTCATTGGAGACTAATTTTAACCCCTCGCACTGAATAAATCCAGTTATTCCTCACTTAAATTTACGTCTAACTGAATTGGAATCAATTTCAGAATTAACATTATAATGCCGAGGCAAGGACTTTAGGGAGGATTAGCTCACTTCTTGCGCCGTTTGAAAAGATTTGTATCCGTACAAAGTCTACAAATCTTTCAATCAGACAACCAAAATACTTTAGTTTAGTAACCAAACGTGCGATGGCACGTGTTGTTTCTTTACGAACTCTTGAATGACTAGTCAACCTAGTAACAGCCTGGCTCAGTGTGGTTATCTCTTACTAAGGATCAGTTCTGATGCATTTCGGTGGCAAATATAAATACTAACTGGTAATATACACAAACCAATTAAATGAGGCTGGGGAGATATTTATATTGTCCGCTATCCAAATTCTCATAAGACGCGCCTATTCAATCTCCAATATTCATGTTGCGGACTAGTGCGAACCAAATTGATTTCTTTGTATTCTCTTCTTATTAACAAGGCAGGCCTCCTTATCACTGGTGGATTTGTATCTTTTATATCCCATCACTCGCATCACACAGCTATTGTAGGCCCCAAAGACTGTGAGAAGCCGGTTAGATTTGAAGAGGAGGATTGTTTAATGCTGAAAACATGGTGCTGCTTTAGTCATCTCCCTATACAGTCGCCTCGTCCGGCCACTGCAACAAAATTATGATGAAATGATGGAAGAGAAAGGAAGACATGGGGAAAGTCAGAGATAACAGTGAGAGGAAGGGTGAATAAAGTCTGTGAGAAAATCAGTTGTACACACAATGAGAAATTCTACAATAGGCACAATGGATGGAGACCGCTTCTCCAGTCTTCTTGCGGTAGTTGATATGCTGATTTAGGATCCCTTAGTCTTCTTTATACGGTATTCACCGATGGTGTAATCAATATGACGGCCGATATGCATTACAGGAATCGGGGTAAAAAGAGTACAAATGCACCCCAAATTTTAACTCCTCATTCGTGGCCGATCATTTCGAGTCACTGCCGATGGCTCCACAATATTCCATTAGCTCAGTCTCTCTTGATCTCACGTCGGGCTTCATGAATTATACTGTCTACTGTCTTCGAAAATCTCACAGAATTCCTCCATCTAGTAAACTTGAACAGAGAAAGAACGGAAAGTGTATCAGTATAATATTAGCTCATTCTTCATCATTTGGAGGTTCCTTCTCACCCCTCTACAACCTGAAAATACAAAAACATAAATCGCACAAAATACTCAAAGTACTTTTCACGTGATGACAAGCGACTTCTTTCATAATTGCCTGGCAGGCTTTCTGTTACCTTTCTCGGTCATCGTTAACGAAGATAAGGAACGCAAAGGCTCCTCTACACTCGCTTGAGAACCACTACAAATGACTGTGTAATGGATTGGAGGGACTGCTGAATTCAACTGAGCTTCAACCGTTCCATCCTCAACGGCAAATATGTTCATGTGTTACACAGGCATATTAAAGACAACTGGATCTTCAAAGGACCAGAGAGTGGCAGCTGGATTTTATTGCATTAGTTCTCATGGGATTCATCCACTCTCCCATTTGCTCTTACCAGCTTTGTTCTACCGTCACTGAATATTTCCTTTGAATGTCCCGTTCTGTTGGTGGACTTCATCAGTACCATTATAAGTGAGTCTATGGATAAATTGTGCGCCACCTCTAAATGTACAGCTTGGGATTTTAGAAATGTGAAAACACACGCATGGTGTTTTCCAGACCCCCTGTCTGATTTCGCTACAATTGGTCTGAAATTCATGGCAATGACTAGGGAGTATACAACTTGACTGTTATTGAACTAGATTTATGCATATGCTCTGAATATTGGAGAGAGTAGATGAAGTGCTGATGTCAGATTTAGTAGATTATAATTACCCGTAGTATGCAAGCGTTTTGGATCTGAATCCGGCATTCATCTGCCCTCCATCCATGTTCTCTACTTATCTTGCTATATGATATATTTGGTTAATAATATTCACGATACAGTACAAAGATTAACACTTACCTATTTCATTACAATTTAATGATTCACCTCAGCACTTTAATTTTTCTAAAACAGATTCCAATCCCTTGTAAAAGGTGTACTTACCTCAATATTGGTTGGTTATCGTATGCCTACAACCACGGGATGAAAACGGAACGAAGTCGATTTTCCCGCTCAACCTGGAGGACAACTGTACAATTCAATAACTATACGGCCTAATTCAGAAAATGAGTGTATTATATGTATCGAATATTTAACAGTTGAAATACGATTAACTTGTAGACAATCTACGATTTGATATTATATCATACTTGATCGTGCCTGTAAAAATGGCATGCATTTTCATGTAAATTTGTAAATTTATATGAAATACATTATTATTATTATAGTCGTATAGTTCCTAAGCGTTCTGAATTTGCATCTATGAATCTATCTTTTCAGTGCAAGGATTTCTGTCGTAATTAATACGTCAGTCTGTGTACAGACCCCTTCGGATTTTGATTATCTGTAAATGATATAGGACAGTCACTGACATAAAAGTTATCCCTCACGAAATTTGCCATGGTGAAACAGAAACCACCAACAAACTTTGCACAGGTTGTACCGCTTCGAAATCTACTTCAGGTATTGAAGACACTGTAACACAGGAATGTAATTTCACTTGATATATGGTGCGTCTGACTGGATAGAATTTATAAACAACACATTGTGTGAGAGAATTTTTAATGGTGGACTGACTGATTATAATTACCCCAAACGTATTATTTTAAAATGCTTCAGAATTTTCTTCTTCATGACATGAGCAAACGGGTTTCGCAATGTCTAAGGCATACTATGTAAAAAGCATGTCAGGTCCAGCCAACCGACTGTTTTCCTAAAGATCATTCTACCTACCTTCACCACCAACTGTTCTATATTCATTTCCCCCTACTCGATAGACCACGACTTCATTTGTCCTAGTACTGAACACTTCCACACATTAGAATTTTTAAAAATTCCTAATTACCTACTCTTTCGCAATAACCTACATATGTATTCAGTGAGATAATACTGTCAAGAATGTCCTCATGTATCCATTGGCCTATTGGAAAGCATTTGTCAAGAAAGCTATTAGCATGCAGTTCGCTCCATGATTGGGACAGGCGCAAAGCAACGCAATGCTACAACTAGTGCAATAAAAACCTCAGAGATTAACATCACAAAAGGAGGAAGGATGGAGCATGCTGGTCACCAAATATCATGTGACCAAGTGCGAATCTCTGCAGGCTGTGGGATAGCAAATCATTTTGAATAACACGAGATTCAAAAATGAAACTAGAACCTAATCTTTAGGAAAATAACAATGATTGTTTAGGTCTAAATAACAAACAGTGCTTCTGCCTCCGACATCCGTCAGTTTTCTCGGCTTATTGTCAAGGCGCAATTCAGTGAGCCCTACACAGATTGCCGAGAAATCTTAGGAGCCAGTATATCATACTTTTCCGGATCTTTAAGGCCACTTCAGACCAAACCATGATTCATAAGCTTCATGGTAGCTTTAGCTTGAGAACCATTGTATTCTGGTATTTGTTGATTGTCTAAAAACTTAATAAATCTTACACTCCCCTTGCTCCCTTAAAGTTTGCTTGTAGAAAAACAAAGCAACACCTTGTTTATGAAAAGCTATATCTTCATTGAAAACATAATTTCGATAGTAAGGCTAATATGGTTAGCATTATGTATTGCAATTGTACACCGTCATTCTAGGGACTGTATAGCTGCTCATGTAGGAATATGAATATATATATATTTATTCCTATATCTGTGTATCTTCTTCAAGTATATTTTTAATGCAATATCACCCTTGGTTTGTTCCAATTTTCAGTTTCTCAGAACAATTTTTCTCCCTGAAATAGCCTTCAATCGCGTATGGGTGAAGTGCTTACCTCAGTATGATCATTCACCGGCCGAGTACAGTCGCCCGTAGAAAACGAAGTTCAGTTTGCCGCTAGACGTCGATAACGGCCTACATAATGGTTTTACAACTCAACATTTATAAGGACCCGTTCTGATAGTTTATGCTATAATTCGGCTGTTTAAACTGTCAGAAAAATACTCACTAATTGAAATTTTACGATTGTAATTTATACCATGTTTGACAGTAATTGTAAAATGGCACCCATCTCATGTTAATATACCTATTTATATGGAATATAAATTATTATCATATGCTCCGCAATACTGACGCGATGATGGAAGTACAGTGAATTCTTCCATGACTACTTTGGCCCAACGGCTACATTAACGAAGCGAGAACACATGGCGTTATCTGTCATCTTTCACCTTAAAAACAACAGAACTCAGACTGCCTGATGAATTTCCGGTATTTCACTAGTTTTTCATAGAATGTGCACAACTCAACTTTTGGTAGCATAAGGCCTTCTTGTTTCCATAGTTCTGAAACTGAGCATTTCCTTCAAGGACATAGTTTCCAACAAAACATTTGAACCCAGGTGCTTGCCATCTAAAGGAGAAACTCCACTGGCTCAGCACTAACAAGCCCAATTCTGCATAATTTATCAAACTTCTGTGCGTCACGCAATCAACACCACATCCCAACAACGCTGAAATAAAAAATCTGTGCTATTAATAAACACTGATAAGGTAAGCCCAATTCGCAAAAATACCCCCGCATCGCCTTCCATCAACCGTAAAGGCGAAATGCTTCTCAGGGACAAATGCGTACTAAAGAGCAAAATTAATTCATCAAATATAACCTTAAGATACTCTCAAATCAACGCAAATATTCCCTAAAGGGCTATCAAAACTCTATCTGCAAGAATTAAATAAAACAAAGCACATTTCAGTAAACAGTTCAAAGGCGGTCAGATGATCAAGTACGTAGTCTTCAGCTGGCAACTGTAAAACGGCACATTATTCTCATCAGCAAACTGACACAGTGAGGACAGGAATCCTGAAAATTAATGGCAAATAGTAGATATTAGTTCGAAGTCAGAAAAGTAGATATCGAACTGATGATGCACTGGTCAGGGTAAGGTATAATAATTACAAAATCAATGGAAGCAATCAAACAAATATCGTTCTCTAGAAAGATTGTTCAGGAAGGAGTTTTGGATCAGAGTTTCTGCTACATGGGATATAGTCTAATAATGCTGTACTTGTTCCGGTTTCTTCCATAGTGCAATGTCTTTATTTTACTGACTGCAGATAAATACAACGACGTAGGCGAAATAAAATGAACTGAAAACTCGGTGTCCTACTGCACCACGTAGTGTGCTTTTATTCATGGATGAACCTTTTGAATCCCTACGAATTTATGCTCCTGACTGAGTTCTGTTGTTTGGTTATATTTGACAGCTATGAAGCAGACAACGTGTTATTTTTGGAGGTTGATTTTTGTGCATGGGTGATAATCTTATAACCTAAGCCTTCGATTGAGAACTTTCAGAACTCCTTCCAAAAAACAGGTGTATTATTGAAAAGTAGTCAAAAAGCACTCAGACCACCAGTTGATCGCTTTCATTTGATAGGCCGATCATGACATCAATAAACATGAAATCACTGGAGAGTTCAGTGATAGGCCGGTGGGCCGTGCTTCTTGTAGGTTGCAATAACTACGAATCATTTTGTAGGATGTGAGTTGAAACATTGAAGAAGACGTGGAATAGCTCACTCCTTTGTAATATCTTTGTGCTTGTTACAAGTCTCCAAGTAGGTACGACAGACTGACCAGTGTGCAGACCGTCGGCCAGACCTGTATGAACAACATCGGAAATTAATGATGTTGCCAGAAGACAACATTCCAGGACTGAAGATACTATGTGGTTTGCAAACAATTCAACTTCAGAGTGAATGGTACTAAAAGACATTCGGGAATGTCCCAGATTCGTTGATCGACCAGCGATGAGCCAACAGAGCAAGGTCAATGACACAAAACCTTCATAAATACACTGAAAGGCCCAACAACAAATATAAATTGAAACTTGCAACCGTGTCGTTCAGGTCTCCTTCCAGCGAGCAAGCGCTACAGCCACGACGAAGTTTGTTACCTCCAATAAAATAAAACTGGATCGAATAAACAATGTCACTGGACACCTGCTTAATATTCACAAACCTTCCTACCGGCTAATATACGGGCGCGATTATATCCCAAAATCCCAATGAAACTGAAGTATTGTGCTAAGTAGTTTCAGAGCAGTTTTGCACAACTCGCAATCATCCACGTGGCTAAGGGTTAGATCATAGGAGATCACCGTACCGAACAATCAGCAGTAATAGTTATTCTTTTAATGTTATAACCATGAACTCATTGCAATGCGATTGTCACAACAAAAGGTTTATTTAGCACAACAGTGATTCTGATGGTGCAGGGCAGTGATCTATTTATTTACAGTGAATGTGTTAGGTTTAATTCATTTGTGGCTGTTTCAACAAATCATACGCTAGCTCAAGACTCTTGGTGGACACGTGAGCTTCGGAAGAAGAACATGGCAAACTTTGCATCCTGTGGAATGATTGCCAAGGGCGATCCACCTTAGGTACGGTGAGAAGATCTCTTATTCTTAACGTTTTCAGTACCTTACATAACTGAGGAACCCAACTCAATATGACAGAGTCTTCAGAAGAGATGGACGTCACAGGTAATGGGTTTGGATTGGGTTCGATTCTCCATTACTCCAAAGACTCTAGTAGGTTCTTGGAAGCAATGGTTAGCCGGACCCATAGCGCGAATGCTCGCTGCCTATCTATTAGTGTCTGGGTTATTTATAGTGTATAAATTGCAGTGGGAAAGTTTGAACGTCACTTTGAATGTTCAGGTGGTAGAATTTAGAGAGGAAATTAGATCGCTAACATCACATAGTAGTTCAGGAATATAACAATTTGATTTGCCTCTGCGCGAACTTCACCACAATTTACTGAGTGGCTTACATGAATCCGTGGACAATTAAAGAATTCTTCTGGACCCAGTGATTTTACAGTACTACTGTAATGCTAAAGGACTTGCATAAACTACACTTGTAATGATGACTGTTAGACGAAGGCTATGAGCGGAGCCTAGAGTCAAAGCAGCGAGAAAACAGGTCAGAAAATGCATGTGGTGTCGGAGAAAAAATGGAACGATTAGGTGCCAGATAACGATACCAATGCAGATAAGAAAACTGAGATAGCATAGAGATACACCTGAGGCGTTGCGAATAAACTCAGACCAGTTGCAGCGAAATCAGACAGGGGTCTGGAAAACACCATGCGTGTGTTTTCACATTTCTAAAATCCCAAGCTGTACATTTAGAGGTGGCGCACAATTTATCCATAGACTCACTTATAATGGTACTGATGAAGTCCACCAACAGAACGGGACATTCAAAGGAAATATTCAGTGACGGTAGAACAAAGCTGGTAAGAGCAAAATGGGAGAGTGGATGAATCCCATGAGAACTAATGCAATAAAATCCAGCTGCCACTCTCTGGTCCTTTGAAGATCCAGTTGTCTTTAATATGCCTGTGTAACACATGAACATATTTGCCGTTGAGGATGGAACGGTTGAAGCTCAGTTGGATTCAGCAGTCCCTCCAATCCATTACACAGTCATTTGTAGTGGTTCTCAAGCGAGTGTAGAGGAGCCTTTGCGTTCCTTATCTTCGTTAACGATGACCGAGAAAGGTAACAGAAAGCCTGCCAGGCAATTATGAAAGAAGTCGCTTGTCATCACGTGAAAAGTACTTTGAGTATTTTGTGCGATTTATGTTTTTGTATTTTCAGGTTGTAGAGGGGTGAGAAGGAACCTCCAAATGATGAAGAATGAGCTAATATTATACTGATACACTTTCCGTTCTTTCTCTGTTCAAGTTTACTAGATGGAGGAATTCTGTGAAATTTTCGAAGACAGTAGACAGTATAATTCATGAAGCCCGACGTGAGATCAAGAGAGACTGAGCTAATGGAATATTGTGGAGCCATCGGCAGTGACTCGAAATGATCGGCCACGAATGAGGAGTTAAAATTTGGGGTGCATTTGTACTCTTTTTACCCCGATTCCTGTAATGCATATCGGCCGTCATATTGATTACACCATCGGTGAATACCGTATAAAGAAGACTAAGGGATCCTAAATCAGCATATCAACTACCGCAAGAAGACTGGAGAAGCGGTCTCCATCCATTGTGCCTATTGTAGAATTTCTCATTGTGTGTACAACTGATTTTCTCACAGACTTTATTCACCCTTCCTCTCACTGTTATCTCTGACTTTCCCCATGTCTTCCTTTCTCTTCCATCATTTCATCATAATTTTGTTGCAGTGGCCGGATGAGGCGACTGTATAGGGAGATGACTAAAGCAGCACCATGTTTTCAGCATTAAACAATCCTCCTCTTCAAATCTAACCGGCTTCTCACAGTCTTTGGGGCCTACAATAGCTGTGTGATGCGAGTGATGGGATATAAAAGATACAAATCCACCAGTGATAAGGAGGCCTGCCTTGTTAATAAGAAGAGAATACAAAGAAATCAATTTGGTTCGCACTAGTCCGCAACATGAATATTGGAGATTGAATAGGCGCGTCTTATGAGAATTTGGATAGCGGACAATATAAATATCTCCCCAGCCTCATTTAATTGGTTTGTGTATATTACCAGTTAGTATTTATATTTGCCACCGAAATGCATCAGAACTGATCCTTAGTAAGAGATAACCACACTGAGCCAGGCTGTTACTAGGTTGACTAGTCATTCAAGAGTTCGTAAAGAAACAACACGTGCCATCGCACGTTTGGTTACTTAAACTAAAGTATTTTGGTTGTCTGATTGAAAGATTTGTATACGTAGAACGTCTAGAAATCTCATCTTCAAACGGCGCAAGAAGTGAGCTAATCCTCCCTAAAGTCCTTGCCTCGGCATTATAATGTTAATTCTGAAATTGATTCCAATTCAGTTAGACGTAAATTTAAGTGAGGAATAACTGGATTTATTCAGTGCGAGGGGTTAAAATTAGTCTCCAATGACTGTGTATTCAGGAATTTGGTCATGAGATAAGGAGCAACCAGTTTAATTGCCAAGGTCGGGACATAGAAGGTGATTGCTAATTTTTGCAATGTAACAGGACTAATATACGTAAGGTTAAAGCTATGTATTCTGATGTGCGGGGGTCGCTGGTGTTTGCAAGTAGTTACTTCGATTCCCTTTTGTGATGGGCTGCCCCACTTTGTTCTACCTTGTGTACTAAATTGAAGTGAAGGGCTCTGGGAATGGCCTCTTTGCTTCACTTTGGACACCCAGACAGTATCATAGTTCTTAGGCAAACATTATAGTGATCACACCCTGTGTCTTAAAGACTGCAAATCTTTACTTTGTAGTGTGTTTAGTAGTTGAAATTACTGCGGTAAAGACTTCGTAGTTTTACCTTTGGCTGTGATCTGTGTTGTGCTACTCTATTCACTTCTGTTTCCAGTTTTGTTTTTCTCAGACTTCCGTCACGCTCACATATGTCAGTTTATCCAAAGTTCTGAACTCGCTAGGTGTTTGTATTTAATACGATGTCTTCAGTTGTGTCACATAATTCACCGTTCTAATATATATCGATTATAAGTCTACTTCGCAGATCCGATGCGACACTCTTTCATCTAGGTCTCATTAACATTCGACTGTATGCTGTTATTGAAAACGTTTCAGTCAAAATGAAAGTTAATTGTTAGTTGAAGTGGATGTTAGTTCTACATTAGGTGTCTTTTGCTAAATGAGTACATCATGAGAGTTGTGTGTATAAATAAATAAATAAGAAGTTTCTTTATCAATTATAGTTCACATCTTGTTTTGAGAAATGAAGTGAACCACGACGTCTTCATCCATTGATGTCAAGTTTTTGATGGTCTCGTATTTGTAGTGACACATTAGATCATGTGGTGATGTCTCATTATCATTTGTTTTGAATTTATTTTGAAATGCTGCTAGCTGTGAGAATGGTTTATTCGTAAAACCAATGGTAATGGAATAAATGCTTCTTTGTGTATGTTTGATTACTATCTCCCATTCCTTTCGTTAGCATGCATCTTCTTGCTTCAGTTACCTCCATTTTAAATATCATCCCTAATCTTGTGGAAGGTAACCTAGTAGTCCTCTAGTACTGGTTTATGTTTGGACTATAACTGGTATTTATCAACGCTGATATCAGTTGTTGGCAACCTGGAGGGCTTTAAAACCCGTGATTGGTCTTGAGTTTTGTTACCACTAACCAATCAAAATTATCAGTGGTTTAGCATTGATTGTTGGAAAGGTTACTGAATACGCTGTTCCCACTGTCACTGAATGTATTAAAGTTGTCGCTTATTTCATCAATAGTACATATACGTTATTAAAGATCGATCATCGTTTATAGCTGTTTTTGTCTTTACTACGAACTTTGTATTTCGAAAGTAATCAATTAAAATAAACATTTCTGCATTCGAATCCCAGAAGAGTGATATGTTATACTGAATATCATTTTGGAAACTAAGCGGTAAATATTTTGTATAAACAAGTCATTGTAATCGTCGCAACGCGTATTTACTATTATTGTTATTATTATTAAGACCCAAGCGTCGTACACTATGGCCACCAATAGATGCATCACACAAAATCTGAGTTTGTGTGAGGGCTGTGGTACTGCTCAGACGCCCACATCTAAGCAGGTGATTTGCTTAATGGGACACCCCCGAGCCTTTAATTGAAGTTTGATCCAGAAGGGAATGGAGCAGCCTCAGGAGCTACGTTGCCATGGTTCCCAGTGACCAAGATAGGTTCATGCGTCACTCGACTCTTATGGATTCTGAAGCCCATATTTTTAATTTTTTATATAGCTGATTCAACAAGTATTTTGGTACAACTATGGGATTTTCAGCATGCGATATCGGAGCCCAAATTTACAGGCCACCATGATATCAGGTATGCGTCTGCCGGGGATTGAACCCCGGACCATGGGCATGGTTGGCGAGCGTCCTAACCGCTGTGCCACCGACGCACAATACACTATTTTTTTGTAGTCAGGGTTTTCTAGCTCTCCTAGGTAGATCTGCATGTTTAGCAGTCCGGTTGTAAGCTCCAGACGTTCACATTCACCCTTTCACTTATACCGGAAACAATCCCGCTACCTGAAGGTATTGAGTAGGAGTTCCCTGGCACAGTCTATGAACGTGTGACCACATGAGAGCATTTCGAGAGGAAGAGCGAAGTCTACCCACCCTCGGCCGTACCAGGTCGTTTATGAGGGCAACGCATCTGCCTTTACTTGAATGCGAACTAGTGTATACTCTAGCCGTATCCGCCTAAAAAAGCCACTAACTGAAGAGAGTAGTCACTCTAGATATAATGACTATATTGTTTGAGAATTAATCGGTTACTTCTGCACGATTGAGTGGTTGTACTCTAAATTTAAATGTACAGGTCACTTACCAATTAATACGCACATATTCTTGTGACAACTGGGTTGCCTTTTTAATCTTGACACGATTGTGATGGTTAGAATTGCTTGAAAACGTGCGGACACTACTATTGTTTAGAAGTAAAGCTTGTTACAAGTATCAGATAACCAGTGAATGTTTACAGTATTACTTAGAAAAGTCTTTAACCGACAATCATTAGAATCATTTGTTTTATTTTTCATTTTAGCAATGGAATTTTTTCTTAAACGAGTTCCTGCATTTAGTCGAGCCTTGGGAGATTTCGATTCTGATTCTGATGATGATGCCGACAATGATATTGAACCAACTCATGAAGAATTAACTGTATCATTCAGTAACGAGAAAAATGAAGAATTGAATGTTAATCAAGTATTTAAAGATTATACCTTGATATCACATATCATCATAGCTATAGGTCCATTGACAAGTGCCTATATACTTCTAGGCTTAAATCTAGTGCACAGAAATCCATGTATCATTAAAGTATCGTATAAGAAAACATTTCTAATATTCACCAGTTATTATCTTCCGGATTGCGATAACACTTTAGTCATTTGTATTGAAAATGAACCAAAGCATTTATCTTATGAATACAAGCATATCTTATGTCAATACTTGGATCATCTCATTTCACCAAACGAATAATAATAATAATAAACAAAGTATCAAGACTATCAATGTACTGTGTAGTCGTACAGTCAATCATCATCATTATCTTTCAAAATCAAAAATATCTACTCCATTTATCCGATATATACCATCATTTTCCACAAGGAATAATAATAATAATAATCACTGTACACTAAAACCACTGGAACAACCGAATATTTTAACAGGTTTACCAGCTGAAGCATTAACTTGGTTTTATTTCAATTCATTACCGTCCAGTGCATACATTGTCTTCTATTCACCAGACGTGAGTCTATGTGAATGGTCTGCAGTGAAAGAAATATTCAATTGTTTAGCCTCAATAGATGTTGATATTCTGCGTAAGTATATATCGTCGTCCAACAATGATTGGGATAAGAATTTATTGAGTAATAGTAATAATAATAATAAGCTAGTAGAGACATGTATTACTGCTGTATGCAATAGTGAACGTGCAAAGACAGATCAAATGTATACCTGAAGGAAATGTACTTTCATAACTTGATTTTTGATTATTACTATTTTATAATAATGGTTTCATTTGTTTTTCTTCTAAAAGAGCAATTTGTTGCGATTTCAGATTGTTCTCCAAAATATGGTATGCTTGACTAGGGAGTGAGTGATTCATAGGTGTCATAGTAACTTAAGTGTGGAAACTGCATATTCTTTTTCATTGAAAATATTTACACGACATTCCTTGTGTGAGATATGCCTATGTGATGATGAAACCCTGTGTAATCTAGATGTAGGTGGTTGTAAAAAGAGACTGGGATGTTCAAGTGTTGGCTTGTAGGGATTTGGTTGATTGGTTACAGGATTTCATCATGAGCTGACATTGGTTAGAGAACCATTGGAAAGCCTGGGAGTACTGAACAGCTGTTTCGCCAGCCTAGTTTGGGACTCTTCATCAGTACGCACCCATCTAATCAAATCCCTACATGCCAACACTTGAATATGGATGAGATGCTCATTAGCGACTTGCCCTATTCAGGTAGGTAGTTACCTGGGGTTCTAGTGAGAAGTCATGACCAGTAGGGTGCAGCAGATCGGCAGTGAGGACAAGTGCTCGCCGAAGACATTGGCTAGTGGTCGCGCTATGTCGTGAATTGGCATAAGTTAGAATTCATGGACGGGCCATTGGATTAGTGGGTCCCAGTGGCTTAATGGTCTACGAGCTCGCCTTGTAACCAAGAAGGTCCTGGGTTCGAACCCCGTGGCGGTGGGTGCGTACTGATGAAGAGTCCCGAACTAGGGCGAAACAGCTGTTCAGTACTCCCAGCAGGTTTTCCAATGGTTCTCTAACCAATGTCAGCTCATGATGAAAGACTGGGATGTATTAAAGCACAGTTTATGCTTTTCTGACAACTTCCTGCTGTTTCTGTATACTACTGATTGACTGACATGAGTAGTAGTGGTAGCATACTACTCAAATCAACTGGTATTGCTTCCCAGCAAAATCCAAGTGATCTTGTGGTGAGAGCTGGCTGCTAACCAAAGTTGGTAAACAGTAACTTACGTCAATGTTTATGTCCCCAATATTGGTCGTGAGAAAACTGAGAACAAAGACTTTGCGTAGGCGGATACAGTTAGCATGTAGATGATCCGACATTCAAGAAACAGCCACAAAGAGATGGAAGATTAACTTTCAGTGAGAAACAACCACCAATCAGAGGACTGTTTTTATGCTAAAAATAATCTATAATATGTACATTAAAATATATAAATATGTGTTGATTTCCCTAATAAACGATCTGTTGTTACAATCTAAGTACACCGGACGGCCGTTTCTCTCTCTCCTGAAGCCGGGCTCATCAGTGGTGTGTATCTGTCCGGTTCGACTCAGATCAGAGAACCGAATCAGTTCAAACCATCCGATCTCTCGCTAGCCTACTACTAATTGTGCGGGGGGGATACTGGTAATAAATACCATAAATCAAATTCACAATTTGTATTCCTTCAAGAACTGTTGGTTATACATTTCCTGGAGGCAGACAATAAATCACATTGCTTAAATCACGCATTCCTTTAGTATATCTGTCTTCAAACTTGGTTGAAAACTGTGAAACAGTTAGTCAGTCATTTCGGAAATCTGATGTCATTATTCAAAAACAATCTAAGTAATCTTGTAACAACAGAAGACAAGGGCCAGGCAACAGATTGCTTATTTAGGAAATCAACAGATATTTTAGATTGTTATTTTTTGTAGCTGTTTTTTGAATGTCAGATCATCTATATGCTAACTGTATCGGCCTACGCAAAGTCTGCTGTGATTGGTTGTTGAATCAGTCTTTGTTCTTATTTTTATCACGACCAATATTGGAGACGTAAGCATTGACGTAAATTACTGTCTACCAATTTGGCTAGCAACAAATCTTAATGTCACCAGAAATATAATTTTTAATAATATTTGGTTCACTAAAGCATTTCATCATTATTTGAGATCATTAAGTGATAATAAGTCTCAATTCTAACGATGGTTTATAGGATCTGAATTAATGACGAGAAAATAAGCTATTCTATGACCTACTCTCAATATATAACAGTTGTGTATTGAAGTAAACTGACAGAATAAGATAACAGCCTAGAGAGTAAGGATAATTTGTAGCGCCCCCTATCTATATTAAGCCTAAATGTACGCCTATAAAACTAATTCATGTACGCATGTTACATACGCTTACAGAAACTAATTTTACACACACTTGTGGAATATTTGCCATTGTATTACTACTTACTGAACATTGCTTCCCGTTTGTTACATGTATATTTTACGCGGTTATGCACTTTTTGCATTCGCCTCGTGCTCTTCAAAATTTGATTTCGTTAACAATACATCTTATCAAGTTTTCACTTGTGCTTCTCCTTAATGTATATAACGTTGTTCGTCCCTGACCCCGTGTACAGCGCTACAGCACACAGTAGAATGTGAAGGCGTGGATGTACTAGTATAGTATCATAATCGATTAGCACCGCTTAGGTTACTAAGGTGTTGGTGGTGTGATTTCAGTCTTGAAAAGTCCAACACATAGCAGAGAAACATTTTTACTGAATTTTCATAATCAGAACGAAAAAGTAGTCAAGAGAGAGAGAGAGAGAAGAGAGACAGGAAACTGTACAATACATTTTTGTTTTAAAAATAATGAGAATTGATGCATTTAAGTAGTAATATTAATAATAGTAATAATAACATTAATATTACGTATGACTTTTGTATTGACAAAAGCGAGCTGGTGGTCATGGTGATGAAGAAAAGTACAACAAAACAGACACACAAACGAATGCGAAGAAACCACACAAGTGTAGCCGATTGCCATAAGAATTACAACACAGGAGAGTAAAACTGTTTATGCGATTGATTAAAACGCCTGGACACATGATTAGTAATTCAGTAGTAGTAATAGTAGTTATTAGCATTAATAGTATAATAGAGTTTATTCATATATTCAATAGAAGAGGGACGAGAATGGGATGTGGGGACGGAGTGATCTGTGGTGGTGGTGGTGGTGTATATAACAAACAACACACATTTTTAATTATATCATCATCATACTGTACATATCCGTGTGCGCGTGCAGGAGAAGACAGACAGGAAGAGGGGGAGATGGATGATAGTCAGTCGACTCAGAAGATATTCCTTTTTAGAAAAATGCAAGGGCTAGTGTAGTTGTTGTAATTATAGTTATAATCGAGAAACAAACGGGATATATATATTGCAACGACATATGTATATAGGTACACAGAGAGCGCTTTCAAGGGGGCGAGGAAGAGTTCAGAAATAAAAAATACATTAGAATATAATCCTAGGCGATAAATCAATGATGTTCAGAAGAGATGTGCAGTGTGTGTGTGTGTGTGTTAGAGAGTGTGAATAAACAGTTAACTTGTTTCAATAAGAGTAAAGTCTCTCTCTGTGTGTCTCTTAATCAAAAGGAAATAGAGTATATATGTATATAGATGTGGTATATAAAACCTGTACATTATATTCAAGGGGAAAATCATTACCAAACAGAGGTTTAACTCCACCTCTCGCCCCTCCCCACCCCACCCCCAACAACTGAAATGATTTGTAATGATAATTTTAGAGTAAAAACAAAATATAGTAAATAGCATAAAGTATCTGTCTATCTATCTATCTATTCAGCTTCATCTGTCGTCAATCTTCTTGAATTGAGGAAGCGGACCTTCTGTGTGTGTGTGTATGTACGAGTGCACATGCGCGGGAATTCCCATAATATTTCGAAATTAACAATATTATTTTTTTAAAATAATCATTATCTGCTTTTTCCTTCTTTCTTCATTGAATAGTTTTCTGTATACGTTCAATCCATTGCATAGCAATTTCTTGATTGATAGCACCAAGTCTGTAGGTTCGACTGGTCGTTTCCAACTGTAAAATGTATATTTAACGAAATAAGGATGAAAAAAAGGAAGACTTGATTTGAGAAGTGTATCATTATTCCATGAATTATCGAATACAATAGATGATCGTCAGGATGGAAATAACACATTTCGATACAGTCAGTTTAGGAGTGCTTCGGTGGGGAATCAAAACCCAGACCACGTGCGTGGTTGGACAGCATTTTACCACTGACACACGAGACGATGTATATGTATATATTCCTTTACCTTCCCAGTGGAACATTGGGCTTCAAGCTAGAGCTATGAAGTTTCGATAGCAGTGATGTTTATTTTTACGGGATGGGGTTGCTAGCCCCATGCCCAACCTTTGCTCTTTTACCGGTCTTATTACCGGCTTAGCGAGGTAAAGGAGTGCGTCGGTGGCCGGGGATCGAACCACATGAGGCGTGGTTGGCGAGCATTCTACCGCTAAGCCACCGACGCCAATAAAAACCAGCTCCTCGACCGGGAATCGAACCCGGACCTTACACGTGACAGGCGGAGATACTCACTACTATACAATCGAGGAGTATATATATATATATGGCCAGTGGCGTCGCGCGAATGAAGATAACCATAAAAGGATATTTTCTGGCCAAGGATGTGGTCGTGAGCGGAAATATGCAGACTGCCTTGACCCAACATCACTATAAACATGTGACGACATATCTGACTACATGCCACATCTCCACCCTCACAAGATCTCCACGTCGCTCTTGCACATTCAAACTGTCGTTCCCCATTCAACTTCCCTTCTAGGGCCTGTCACGTGATGTCACTCAACGGTCGCCTCAGCATGTGTCCAATTCATCTACATTTCCTTCGGTACATTTGTCTGGCGATTTTTTTTTTATTTCCTTCACGTTCCCCAGTGGAACATAGGGCTTCAAGCTAGTGGCATGAAGTTTCTGTAGCAGTGTTTATTTTACAGGATGGGGTTGCTAGCCTCATGCCCAACCTTTCCTCTTCACCAACGTTATTTCTGGCTTAGCGAGGTAAAGGAGTGCGTCGGCCGGGGATCGAACCCCGGACCATGTGCATGGTCGGCGAGCGCCCTAACCGCTATACCACCGACGCACCGTCTAGCGATAGGTCTTAGTAAGTTCCTTTACCAGAGTTCCTTGTTGTGCTAGTTCTTTTCGGCCTGCCAAGTGACCTCCTCGAGTAGGGAGGCCTATCTTTTCTGGAAGCTTTTTCTGCCAACTTGTTGCTTTTCGCTTGCTTCACCATATAATACTAATAATAATCAGTTAGATACAATGAAGTCATGGACACCCATGCACACACACACACACAAAAGTCTAATAATGCTGCACTGAAAACAAAAAAAAAAAAAAAACAACTTCACCGTTCAACTTACTTCGAATACAACAAACGATGTTGATTTACGCTGGTGGGCGAAATTTCGAACAATTCTCACACATCTAACATCTTGTAAATCAATACACCCGCGTGGTGACGAGTTGGCATAACTTTCATAATATTTCAACTGATGTCGATTTGTATCCAGTGCGAACAATCGTTGTTTCCATTGTTGCAGAAATTTACGATGACCTAATTTATACAAATAACCATAGTAGGATGCTGAAGCTAAGTGTTTTGGTAATTCTGTTCCACCACCACCAGATAAACTTCTTCCACTTTGAGATTGAGTATCCGACAGGGTATTAGTCTGAGCTACAGATGAAGAACTTTCACTTAGCTTACGTTTTCCACGAGTATCTTGTCTATTTTTTTGATATATAATATGGATTAGAAGAAGAAAATGAAGAATAATAACAATAAAATCAATCAGATAGATGCAGGTGTTATTTTAAATATTAACAAATGAGTACATTTCTACACTACAAGTTTGACTGTTCCACCACCCACCCCATCCCCTTACTTTGAAGCCAGTTACTCCATGGGGCGTACAATTAGAGGCATGTTCGTCATCGGATTTCTGAACATCATTTTGCGTGATTAAGTGAACGATAAACAGAGTCTATATGTAGCTCTGTTTTAGCTCACCTTGTAGATACTGAACACAAAGTCAATGTTAACAAAGCATTTAAGGAAACCAACAAAATTGTGTGTACTAAATCAACTGTGGGGGCTGTGACGCCGTATGTATATGTAGGAGAAACTTCCGGACAGGTAAATGTAAGGGTGAAATAGCATAAGCATTGCCTAAGGGTGGTTCCAAAGACCTCTGCAGACTTAAAGAAGATAGAGAACACATTAGTGATTGCACTGCATTCGATGGAAACGGGACACAAAGTCGACTTTGATAGGACTAAGGTTCTACAGAAAGGTTTTGGTTCGTATAAAGAAAGACTGACTGCAGAAGCTTTGCATATACGGGTGACATATACAGGACAGCTGTTTCGTCCTAGCTGTCCAGTACTCCCAGACTTTCCCGTGGTTCTCTAACCGATGTCAGCTCATGATGAAATCCTGTAACAAATCATACAATTTTGTTTGTTATATTTTGATGACTGTTTCATGACTCATATGATTGGACAAAGTTTTGAAAACAAGAGATGTCCTTTTTATATATAAACCTCTGTTATGTTAATTTCGATTAATTTCCCTGAAGAAGTTCGAACCAGTTTGCCGAACGCAGGAAACGTTGGAATTACGCATTTCAATTTCGCTGAGATTTTACAAATATAATTTTTACAAAGGCATTTAAGGTTATATTTACTAAATTCCGATTAATCATAATTTCATCTCACGAATTCGTCTTTTACAAAGTAACTGAAGCCATCAGAATCCACCTGAAGAAGCTGAACTTATGTGTTCAGAAAAAATTCGTACAATAGCTTTCCTTATCTTGACAAAAGTCTGGCGCATAAGTGTTTTTTGTAATTCAATTTGATATTCGGTTTAGTATTACATTTTTATTACATGCTATTGAACTGACTACCCACGGATTTTCATTCCCTCTTCATATGATCTCCTTCATATCAACGTCAGACTCATGCCCAACCCATCGTTTCTCATTCGGGTTCCACTCGAGAGCCTGAAATGTCACGTCACCCAAGGTCCTCTCACAGTATGTCCACAATCCATCCCGGTTTCATTCTGCACACTTGTTGGGCACTAGGCTGCTGATTGATCCGCCGTGCTTCCAGAGTTTCTGGTTACTTATCCTTTCCTATCAGCTTACTAAAGGTATGCAGTGACACACCTGCACCATTTGGCACGCTGTCGTGCTATGTCTAGTTTGTTTAGACCATGTTTTGCCCTACCGATAGCTGCTACCTTGACGTGGTGGTCGGGCGTGCACATCGCGATGACCCAACAGGCTACGCTGGCTGGAACCAATGTTCCTGCAGGTCCTACCATACCAGGAAGGTTTTTAGGATAGCGATTAGACTAAAAGCAGTTACCGGCATTGTGTAAGAATCTTTCCTACACTATGCTGGGGGTCTGAGGGCGAAGTCGTACTGCTGGGGAACAGGGGTGTAACAGCAATAAGGTGTTTCCCTTAGATGACCAGCATGCCAGCTATGCTGTCTCTCCACTCCGGAGAGAGGGGGTTAGAAAAGGTCGACCCCAAAATTGTACATCCCGACTTACCCTACGGTGGTCCGTAACCGGCGGTAAGTTTACTAATACGGAACCAATCCCAGAAACCAGTTCATACAGGCCGTGTGTGACCGGCCAGCATCAAGCAGTTGTCCCCTGGGCTCTGCGGTCACGCAACTCTAACCCTCTTTCTGTTTCAGGTACCCGAAGAGTCAATCAACTTCCACGGTGTGGGCAGCCGGGAAGTAACAACCGCCCACTCACTTCCAAAAGCACACGAAGCCTTCCTGAGCATCATTCTCCTCTAGTTTGTTTCGTGTACGATCTCTATAGTCAGCTAAGCGCACACAACCCGGCTTAACAGTACCGATACCGAAATACATTTGGTATTTTTAGACAATTCAACTATTGTTCAGATTTGGCTTGGTAATGGAATGTCAAATACGTCCAACTGGATTGGCTTATCCTTGCCATCATCAGCATTCACTTGGAATTTTAGACTCAGTAATTTCTGAAATCCTACCTGACAACTAACTCTTCATTAGTACACACCTATAACCCCCCGCGAGGGATCAAACCCAGAATCTTTAGGTAAGGAGGCGAGCTGGTTAACTAGCCAATTACTGGGACGGAATTCAATGGCCAACGGCTTTTAACACCACCGCCAGCCAATGGCAATCGGTGGGTGAGCATTTTTCCTCACACCCGACCTGGTGGACTCCACCAGTCATGACTTCTCACTAAGACTTCAGGCAACTTCGCCCTGTTGTCAGTCACTAGTGAGGCTGTTCACTGATGCTCAATCAATACTCCGTGGTTCTCTGAATCATATCAATCCGTGATCAAGCTTGAAGTAAATAAAATCCATAAAAAACTAACACTTAGAAATACTTTATTATCATCATAGACGCATAAACTTACATTAAAACTAATGAAGATCGAAATGAATGATCACGTTCCCCGCGCCAAGGTAGAGTTGGACTGAATAAACCACTCCCACCACCACCACTACCGGTAATACCAAACGCTGGAGCAGATCTTCCTCGATCATCATCAACACCATCAACAGCATACTGATGATTAGCCTTCTTGTAGCTATCCAGTTCACTTGGTAAATAGGCCGAGTCATGTCGTTTCAATAATCCATGTCCATTTTTGTCTGTATCACCTTGACGAGGACTACTAATCAGCATATGTGTAGGAAAACACTTTGAGTCAAGTGATGAACACTTTTCATGACAGAAGAGATCACATTCAATGCATTTGACAACATTATCTATGGATTGACATTTTTTCTGGCATAATTCACATGAAAGATTAGGATTGGTATTTATTCGTGATGAAGTGAATTTATGCACTCGTGGCTACAACACAGAGAAGCGAAAGAGAAAGAAGAGAAAAGAGAATAGTAGACATTAAGAGTAAAATGAAAGAAAAGGCATAATATTCATTATTTATAAAGCGCTTTTGTATTTCCCAATGAGTGAAAAACAAAACGATATTGTTGTTTTCACTGATATTTCCCTATTTAATGCTGTTAATAGCTTCATCAAAGTAGTAATAATGAACCAGAATTTACAAAATCTCAGCTTGTGTACAACAACTTAATCATCATTCACAAAAAAGACAAAAACATCGTTATAACTAAAGTCGACAAGGGAAACGTCACTGTGATAATGAACACTACTTATTATGAAAAGATGGTGATTGACCACCTATCCAATGGTCCATACTTACTTATTGAAGAAAAGAAGAGGTCTGCCGAATTCAACACAATGAAACTGAATACCAACAGACTTCTCCAAGAACTGAAACTCGAAATTGGAAATTCTCTCTGGTTCAAACTAAAACTAAAATTTTCAAGTATTGGTTTTGTAGAGAATTTCGCTTGATTGGTTGGAGGATTTCATCATGAGCTGACATCAGTTAGAAAACCATTGGAAAACCTGCAGGGAGTACTGTACAGTTGTTTCATCCTGGTTTGGGACTCCTCAGCGGTACGCACCCACCGCCAAGGTTCGAACCCGGCACCTTCTGGTTACAAGGCCAGCAAGCTCGTAGACCATTCAGCCACTGGTACCCGATCCAATGGCCAGCCAGTCCATGAATTCTAACTTCTACCCTTCATCACACCCTTTCAGTGCAAAAGTATCAGTTGTTTCAAGTCTTCTAAGACCAGCACACTCTTTGATGCCAACGGATGAGAAGGAAAAAGAAGAAGAAATACCAAACATTATTGAGATTCCCAAGAAAATAACTATCCAAATGACTTCATTAACAACATCAACACCGACATTCTTAAAATTAGAAGATTGATTTGAAAAGTGATCACTTCAGAAATGTGGAATCAAATTAGATTGGACTCTCTCTCTCTCTATCTATCTATCTATCCAGCAGACAGAGAATTATTTTTCAAACCGAGTCGCGGTGAGGCCTACAGCTAAGTAAGCACTTTGCACACATAAACGACCTGAAACTGCCCACGATAGATAGACGTCGATCTTCCTCCCGAAATACTCTCACAATAGAGCCACTTGTTCATAGGCTCTTCCAGGTAACTCCAAATCACTGCTTTTAGGCGGCGAGGGTGTTCCTCACAAAAGTGGAAATCACAATGTGACCACCGGACTGGTAGAAATGGTAGCCTACCTTTAGGCGAGCTGGAAAACCCTGTTTCGAAATCTATGGTGGTATATTACTTACTTTTTACTTTACTTCGGCTATCTCCTACGGAAGGATGAGCCGGCTTCATGAACATCTCGAATCATCGCTGCCCAGGCGCGGCGATCTGTAAGAGAGTTCATGAAGTTTCATGGGAATTTGGTACGAGTGATGTCCCCAGAATCGCTCGGCCTTTTGTTTGAGAGTGCAGCTCTAGCCTTTACACAACCAAGTGTGACCTACAAGGCAGTAGGAGTGGAGTAGGGAGTCCACTATCCATTGGCAGCCGGTGACCGGAGTTCGGTTCATACGCCTTTTTGAATGGGACCAGACATCCAGGACATCCAACAAGCCCTTTGTCCATACATCTGCCGGTGAGCTCCAGTGAGCTTCATACGCCAGTCGTTGGAGGTTTGGAATCAGGGTTTAGCCATCTCCCCTAGACTGTCATCCAATGGACAGTCAACCCGGTGAAGAGCGCCGGGCATCCGCTTTCGCCCTCTCACTTTGGTGAAAACACCTCTGCCACGTGAAGGCAGTGAGTAGGACTTCCTCAGGAGAGGCTATGTAGGACGCCCGGTCATATGGGAGCATTTCAAGAGGTGTGCGGAGGGGTGGCCAACCCGCAGCGCAAGGCACCCACCCCCGACCATCCTGAGGCTTTGGAGGCTATGGTAGTATATATGGACTCCACAATCCGAACGGATCGAATAGCGTGTATAAACCAGTTCCGGTCGCCGGAAACCATGGGAACGTAGGCCCTGACACTGCTCCACACTACCTTGTGGATCAGACTTCACGTTAAAGGCTAAGGGGAGGGAGCGACCATCTTAAGACAATCGATCTGGGCGTCCAAGCAGTGTCACAGTCCTAGTACAAACTATGAGATTTTGTATAGAGTATCTTTTGGTTAAGTATATATCTTAAATCGTTCTTAGGTGGTTGGTGGTATTCAGGGAGAAGCTCTACCGACAACCAGGTTTCGTGCTAGTTGGCATTCACCAGTCATCAGTGTATATCTTCAATCTTGAAGGAACTTATGTCCCTTCTGGGATTCGAACCCCGGGCACCCAGTGCTGCTGCAGCCAGAGACGTTACCACTGAGCTAACTCGACTGGCAGAATTTAGTCTGTGCTGAACGAAGGAACAGACACCTGGCATTAGTTACTACTTATTATCTCATCAAAAACAAATATCCCAAATCGCAGTGATTTACACTGTTTGAAGAATAATAAGTGCGTCGGTGGCATAGCAGTTAGGACGCTCGCCAACCATGCACATGGTCCAGGGTTCGATCCCCGGCCGACGCACTCCCTTACCTCGCTAAGCCAGAAATAATGCTGGTGAACAGGAAAGGTTGGGCATGAGGCTAGCAACCCCATCCTGTAAAATAAGCACTGCTACAGAAACTTCAAGCCATTAGCTTGAAGCCCTATGTTCCACAGGGGAACGTGAAGGAAAAAAAAAGAAGAATAATAATAAAATTGACTTACTTCATCTTGTACAGGTGAATTGATATTGCCAGCACCAGTTCCAATGCTGGTTACACTATCCGATTCGTATTCAATAATAATATTTCGATAACTAGGCGTCAATCCATTGCTCAACTTGTAATCATGATGAGTATGCTGCGCACCGCCGGCGCCACCACCACCACCGCCTGCACGACGTGTTAACCTCTTCAGTGTAGCTGTTCTATGATATTCTAAAATAGCATGACGTGTAAAATGATTATCATTATCCAATGATGATTCATCCACGGAATCATATCGATCACCGTATAATAAATCATCATTGCCTTCATGAAATGCTTCATCTTCTGAAATCTGTTCACATCCCGGTAGATTATGGTTACTACTACTCTTAAACATGTTTGTCTTTCCACTGACACCATTCCTGCTCGGCGAACCATTTGTAACACCATAGTATTTTGAATCATTGCCATTGGTTACTTTTGATAAATCTTTACCAGTTCGTTTTGGGACAGTTGAATTAGGCTTTCTGTTCAATTGACTTTGATCATCCTTTTCAATTGACAGGTCTTTTACAATAATAATATGCGGTGATGACGGATCATTCACATTCGATTCAGACATGTGTAATGGACTGACAGTATTATTCTCTGAAGAGCATAACAAATCCCCCTCACTACTGCCGACACCTTGAGGTGTCAACGTTGTAGTCTGAGTGATATCATCATTCGTTTGATAAGCGGTTGATGTAGACGTAGTCATTGATGACTGAAAGGTATCTTTACCAGGATTTATGTCTATCACACTACTGGACATTGCTCGTCGTCTAGCACCACTACCCATGGCATCATAGTCATCATGATCAGATTTCATTAATTTCCGATGTACAGCACCTTCAGTTGGCTCACTGCCTTCTCTATATTCTCCAAAACGTGATGGCAACGGGGAGAATTTATTCAAAGCTTTAACACCATGTCTTGTGTTACCACCATTAGAGGTAACAGTATTATTTGTTGGGTGCATACTACTCATGGAACTATTAGTAGTAGCGACAGCAGTAGCAGCAGCAGGACCGGTAGTGTTTGTAATTGGTCGGATATTTTTGATTGGTTTTTTATTTTGATTACTTAAATGTTTCGTTGGAGGAGATAGAGGAGAATATGGACTGAGTATTTCAGATTGAGCTTGTTCCCATGTCTCTTGCCAACCGATGGCTTCTTCACCTTCACGTAATCCTAAAACAGCATATGTTTGTTCCTGGTTGTGTGTTTGTGTGTGAGGAGTGTGAAAAAGAAGAACAGAGTAAATTAACTCTTGGGTATTTTTGAACGATTGTAGAGTAGAAAAACAGTACCAGAGACAATATAGGTAATTGCACGTGTCATTTATGGAAGGGTATAAAGGTTATAAGAAAACAAACTTACCGCGCTTTTGTTTCAATATACGTTAATAGGTGGGCTGGAGGCGGTCAGTTAACATTTGAATTTCCTCAGATTAGTGGTTGGTCTTATGTGCTTAGAGGAATGCCGCAATCATACAAGATGTTACGTTTGATTGTTATGCTATGCGTGGAAACGCCTCACAATAGCTTTTATCCTCGCCCGTCACTTAGGCCAAAGACATCAACATATATACTTCAGAAGCATAACAGTTTCTATCGTGTACTTCTACTTACTATGGCTACACCAAGTGCTCCAAATATACGAACAGTTTGCCAGGTGAATTGTCAAACGTATCTTTCACGGGCTGATCAAGCGAAAAGCGTTTCTCAACCTATAGAATGTAGACTTATAACTCCAGGATGTATAAATAACTGTAGGTGGGAAACGAAGTAAATTTAGGTGTCTAAGGAGATCTACGTTGAAATCAGTTCAGATGTCTACAAAAAGCCATAATCTAAATATCAATCTCCAGCTGACTGATGGTTACTGGAGTGGCGTCCTGTGGCTGTTGTGATGAGAAGTCATGACCATTGAGGGGTTCACCATGTTAAGGGGTTAAGGGTAGCGCTCGAATTGACAAAGTTAGAATTCACAGGTCACTGGATTCCGACTGAATGGTCAACGAGCTTAATCTTGTAGCCTGAAGGTCAGCAGTTCGAGTTGCCACGTTCCAAATAGCACAAACGTAGACAAGAAAATGAGTGAAGGGAATCAATAGAGTTTTGGCAAGTAGAAGAGTGAAACAGAATGAGTAATGGTAGAAAGGAATATTGAAAGATTACAGAGACTAAATACATCTGCGCCATTGACAACGATTTTGAGCCATGTCACCTATTGTCTCCAGCCATTGATTCTTAGAGACCCGAGGACGGGCCCCAACCCGGAAGTCTGCATCTCCCTACCTCACTCAGTTTAACTGTCAAGGATTCCATGGATTGATTGATACCATGTTTTGGTTTGGCCACCACTTACCCTTTTCCAACCTGCACCTATATCAGCTGGTATTGCCCGTCGGGGGAGGCGATGGTTAGGCATGCGCAGCACGTGGCCTAACCATCTCAATCTATGTAACTTCATAGCCTCTTCGAGTGATTTTCCCTCTTTGCCCAACACTCTACGCCTAACGTCAACATTACTTACCTTATTATACCACCACCTAACGTGGGAAAGAGATCGTAGACATCTATGATCAGAAACAGTCAACCTTTTCATGTCTTCAACTCGTATTGACCATGTTTCAGAGCCATAGAGAAGGACGGAGCGAATTGCTGATCAGTACACACGTCCCTTGGTTGACAGCCGGATGTCACGCCTACGCCAGAGACGGTGTAAGTTAGCGAAAGCAGCCCGAGCTTTCTGGATCCGTGCTGTGATTTCGTCACCAATCAATCCGTTGGTGCTGATACAACTTCCCAAATAGGTGAAGTGGTCAACATGTTCTATTACTTCACTCCCTATGACTAAGCTAGGGGTACTGATGAAGAGTTCCATAGTAGAACGAGACGGCTATCCAGTGCTCTTGGTTGGTTCTCAAGCATCTTCCTAACTGATGTCGGTTCAAGACGAAATCTACATCGGAAATAATAATCGAGTGTATAGGCGATGACTGCTAGTTATATTCTTACATCACATCCGTCCATTTTCCATTCTACGCTTTTGTTGATTACAGCTCATAATCTATGTTATTCTTCCTTAGTACACAACCACTTTTCTGTTACATCTTGACTAGTCTTCATTTTGTTTACAACTGATGAGGATGATATTCCAACTTTTCATAACTTTTATTGCATAAAATTCGTGTATAAATGCTGTTGTACAATTATGTAAATGAACTGGCTCAAAAAAGATACATCACTGAACTACTTGCTTTTCTTTTTCCTAATGCCTTAATAAGCGTCTTTCAAATATACTTATAAACACATCGAATACGACTTTTATTAGGTTCCATATAGTCTAGTGAATTGACAATAAAAACTGATAAGGCTACGAATTGATTTCTGTTGCTCAAAAAATTTACAGAATGAGACGTGAATCCATTCGACGTACGCTGAGGAGATACCGTTGGGAGCGACATCATATGCCAAGTTCTCTATTGAAACTCACTCGAATGGGAAGCGACGAGTTTCGGCGTGGTTCCGAAAGTAGTTCCATGGAGAAGATTATGTGAAGGGGAAATGAAAGCTTGCGGCAGTCGTAGAGTCAGTTCGAAGATATGACAGAGGATCGAGTGGAATAAAGAAGTGCTGCTGAAGCACTATGTTCCGCTCAGAATGCAAGGGATAGATCATGTTATTTCCAGAAAAATGTTTAATAATCAGCCTATACCACTCAAATCTGAAGACTACAGCTGATCACATAGGTTCATGAATGCTTCTCTAGAAAAAAGGCTTAGCGAGGTTAGTTTTTAGTAATCCTACATAGACAGGTGTACATAGCAAAGCGAACATGAGATCTACAATCTTCTGTTCACATTTATTGAGATTGTGATGGTATATTCACTATATCATGGTATTATATTGTATAAAGTTGCTTATTATGACGAAATACTCTGATGTTGTAGGGATTCAAAGGTCTCTATACACAATATTAGATCAATATCAGCATTCATACTTACTAATTACCATCAGAATAATTAATTCTAATTTTCAGTAGAAGAAGACATTAATAAGAACACATGTCAGCCAAGGAGATCTCTTCATGTAACTTCACTCCATCTCTGTTGTCAGTTAACACTGTAGGTCTATAAACTGTCTAAGTAACGGTACACCTTTGGATACTGAGGGATTTGAAGTGAATTCATGAGTAAAACAAAGGTATCTATTATCATCGATGTTATTCCTAATTGTGGTGGACAGAATTATGCGTCAAACTGTGTGTGGGGAAAGAAAAGACAGGAATATGCCGGACCATGGATAAGAAGACTCTAGTAGATCTGGATTTCGCAGATAATATATGTCTAATGTCACACAAACTCGAACACTTACAGGCGAAAACCAACAAACTGGCTGAAGACAGGACTCCAGGTGAACATAGAGAAGACCGAGGTTATGAAGATAACCAACAAACAACAACAACCAGCAGCGATCACCATCATCGTGAAAGAGCTTACTTCCTTCATTTATCTAGCAAACATTGTTTCAACCACAGGTGACAGCACGGATGAAGATGTCAAAGCCTGAATCGGAAAGGCAAGATACGCCTTCATCAACCTGAAACCAGTTTGGAAATCTTCTGCACTGACTCAGCCAGTATAAAGAACAAGAATCGGATTTTCAACGCAAATGTTAAGTTTAGCGCATCTATACGGGTCAGAAACTTGCAATGAGTGTCACGAAAAGGATTTCCAACAGGCTAACTTATCATTCCATATTGAAGGTTAAGTGGCCGGCCAGAATGAATTAGCAGCAAGAGCCGATTGCTCAACAAATATGTCGAAGAAAATGGAGATGGATCGGACAATCGTTGAGAAGGCCGTTGAATGACATTGCGTGCAGTCCAGACCATTGCTCGAGTGGAACCCGAATGGAAGCGAGGAATGGGGCATTCAAGGATGACATGGAGGAGACCAAAGATTATGGGCAGTCGTGAGGTCAGCTAAAAAGGACCACAGAAAATAGGACGAAGAAGGATAATAATTTGGATACGAATGATTTGTGATGCAATCTTCGAGAGAGGCAATTTTCTTCTATTATACTTAACCCAGAGGTTTGACAGAGAAGAAAACTGCAAGTCCCCAATGACAGTACATGAGCCCAACTGTATTTTCTCCCGTCTTAACTGTGATATGAAGTTACGAACAGAGATTTCTTTGTTGACTTATGCGTTCTCAATTACATGACATGAGGAATTTTTGTAAAAAAAAACATTATTAATCAATGAGAAAAGTCTATGCAAAAGAAACAAAAAGAGAAAACTAACTATATGACTGTTATTAAATCCTTGTCGTAGTACAGGTTCATATGGACGATTAGTACTTTTACGGTAGCTCGGTGAAAAATGATCCAGATCATAGATTGGTCCACAGGCTAAATCTTCAGTTAAATAAAATTGCCACAAGTCAAATGAGGCCATATTTGTCGCTGGTCTAAGAACCTGTGTATTGTATTGTGTAGGAATACAAAAAGAACACAAACACATCAGAATAAGCTATTATTGAGTAGTTGGGACAACATGAAAAGTTATATAGTAATCGAAAACTATAATACAGATCAGTAAATTCTAAAATAAATAAATCAGTGATATTCGATTAGGCAACATCATCTGCAGACTGCCTGACAAAAATCATGCTGACTTTCAGATTGTAAGTTCTTTAAGGATTTGAACTGACTTCAATGTGCAGTTTGTTGTGAACCAACATAAATTAGGTGCGTCGGTGGCACAGCGGTAGAATGCTCGCCAAGCACGGCCTCATGTGGTTCGGAGTTCAATCCCCGGCCACTGACGCACTCCTAACTAAACCTCGCTAAGCCAGTAATAATGTAACAACAGAAGACAAGGGCCAGGACACAGAATGTTTATTACGGAAAATCAACACGTATTTATAGATTTTGATGTACATTATTGTAAGTTAATGTTAGTAGAAAATATAGTCTGTTGATTGGTTGTTTCTCACACAAAGTTAACCTTGCATCTCTTGTGGCTGTGTCAGTTCATCTATATGTTAACTGTATCCGCCTGTCCACTTTGACCTTTGACCTCAATTACTGTCAACCAATTTGGCTAGTAGACAGCTCTCACCACAATAAGACTGGTAAAGAAGGGAGGTTGGACATGTGGCTGGCAACACCACTGCTACCGAAACTTCAAGCCTCTAGCTTGAAGCCATATGTTCCATTGGGAATGTAAAGGAATGATAAAACAAACATCAATTAGAGAATCAATGGGAGGGAGACAGAGAAAACTGGAGGCGAACGCTTCGTCCTAGTATGGGATTCTTCAACTCCGTGTGCTTAAAGGAGTTACAATTCATGAGGTATTACATTTCGACTCAGTGAATGAATAGTCAATGAGCTAGCCCCTCCTAACTTGGAGGTCTTAATTTCGATCCCCATCCCAGTGGGATCATATTTGCGCACTGATGAAGAGTCACAGACTAGGACGAAACAGTTGTTCAATGCTCTCTGGTTTTCAGTGGTTCTCTAGCTGATGTTTATTCATAACGAAGTCTAGTTGTTCATTGGTATAATGTAGAGAAAAGGAATAAGGGGATTTTGTATTATAATCGTCTTGTCGCATTCAATAGTTAATACAGTTTATTACAATGAACGTGTAGATGGACTGTAATCACTGACTTATATATAAGAACAATATTGTTTTCAATTAGATCTTCTTCAGGCTTTACTCTGATTTACATAGATTTATATATAAAAATTTTTAACCAATGACGGTGATTTTGTGGATCAAATAATAATGATAATAACAATGTGGTAAATGTTTTGAATGTAGTTAATAACGATGATTATAACAAAATATTGATAATAAGGTTTATGCAGGTGGCGATAAGACTAATGAAGGTAGTAATATACGTATATGTAGACAATTCAATAAATAAATTTGGTCAAATCTTAAAAATTACTGAATGCTAAAGGTGAAGTGGACAGATAATCAGACTTTAAATAAATATCATAAAAGTACGAAGGAAATGGAAAATAAGAAAGGGTGGGAGGGTTTTGAATAGAATTCACCTAGGCCAAGGGAGAGACAAAGGTAGAACAAACTTCTTTTGTATGCAAAGACTAGGATTGTTCACTCGAATTCCCATAGCTTCGGCTATGTGTAAAAGACGGATTCGAATTCCGTTCGAAAGGCTCGATAGAATGCGATAGATAACTTGGTGACCACTACCAATCAAATGAGCCAAAATATAACTTTTTATAGATTTTATTTGACCTTTTCCAAACCATGAAGGAAGATGCTCATTAATGCGTTTGTTAAGCTGTCTAGTTGTTCCCCCTATATAGCTCTCTCCACAGGAGCAACTAAATTTATAGATAAACATAGATGTGGCACAGCTAGGTAGCTTGTCTTTCACTTGAGCAATCATAATTGGTCGGCTGGAAAATGACAAACAAACGGTGACGATAGTATAAGTCTGTTTCATCGCTCTCGATAATCTCAGGTGTAAGACTTCGCTAGCCACGTCCCCATTAAATTGCAATTTCATGAACAGTTGTTTCTTTTCAACTGTTGTCAGTTTTTCTTTATTGTACTTGGTGTCCATGTGTCTCCTTACAAATATACTAGAATAATCCATTTGGACCAGAGTATTTTGGATGTATCCTAACTCATTTTGTAGGGGGTCATCTGTACAGATACGTCTTGCTCTATTCGTGAGGCATCTGACCAAAATGACTTTGTATCGGATTGGTACAAAACTGAGGAAATGTGTATATTGTCCTACAGATGTAGGTTTTCTATAGACATCTTTCTTGAGTATATATATATATAGCAGTCATCACTTACCTTTTCTCCAAGTTTACGTGAATACCGGAAATTGAAGAATACCGGCCATTCATAGTGTTGTTGTTGAATAAACGGCCATATCGATCGGGAACGATACAATTCCAATTGGTGATCATCTATTTTTGTTACAATACTTGTACTAAATTTACAATTATTCGCTAAACTCTCCATTAGATCAGGAAACCAAACTGTGAATCGTTCAAATTCTGAATCATATTTAAAATTATGAAAACGATTCGATATATGATGATAGGCTAAAAAGCGTAAATAATAATCATTGAATTCAAAGGCTAACGGGAATTGTCTTAACAGTTGGTGGACAGCGTCAAGAAACTGTAAGAAAATCGGTGATATACTGCCAGATTTTGTTGATGAAGTTTGATTTAAATTTTGATTAAATGTATGCCCAAATATTAGCCATTCTTTGTCAATTAAACTCCAAAATCCTGCTATTGTCCGATAGTAAGGATCAAGCATAACTTGTACAAGTGATACAATCTATAAAAATTTTTAGAAAAAATATAAGAATAAAATATTATCCGATGAATAGAATAATAATAATAATAATAGTAATGACAGATTTATGTAAGCGTAGAATTCGGGTGACTATGGTGGGATATAAGTTCATATTAGATCAGTTTACTTCATATTCGTTATTATTATTGTTCCCTTGGGTTCCAAGTGGAACATAGGGCTTCAACAGCACATCTCCACTTTGTCCTATTCACTGTGGCCCCTCTTTAGCTGGTCCCACAATTGCCCGTAGACTCTGATCTCCTAATCGCACGACCTCTTCTATGTCACCCTCGGACGCCCTAATAGCTGCTTCAGGTTATTATTGTCATTATATACTTATTTAAAACACAGAACCTGGTAAAACATAGCCAACACGAAGATGTGCCACACAATAATAATAAAACCACAATATATAAAGAAAATAGGCAGAGAAGGAATAAAGGACTTTATCCAGAAGGGAAGCAACTATCTTTGATATGCTTAGACAGTACCCGTTGAATTACTGTCAGAAAAGGAAGAAAGAAGGAAATTGCGGCATGTTCGCCATTGATTGCATTTATTGGCCATATCCGACAACGCTTCGAGCCATAGATTCGAGTTATCTCTCGGACCCCAACCAACGGAGTCGTGATGTACCAATCGATTCTAGCTAACCTAACACAAATATCCTTCATCCCAGGACGCCACGTCATAGGCTGATCACCACCTCTCCACTGCTTTTTATGTCCACTCCCAGGACTGGCGAACAGAAACCGGTATGAAGCCTCTGGGATGATTTCCGTAACACATATCTGAGCCAATGAAGTCGGTGTTTCCAGATGACGACACTCAATGAATGAATGGTGGTCTCCAATGTGTTAAAACACACACTGTCGGATATTAAATTACTCACACTATGATACCATAGAACGCAAGCAATTCCAAGGAGACAGAGATGGTCGAGTACGCAAGGTTGCTGCACATCTTCTGCTCGGAGACACCAGGTTTCATAGGCGTAGGGCAAGACTGAGAGCACCGAAGCATTGTAAACCCAGGCTTAGATAACCAAGCTGACGTCGCCACGGTGCTATAGATGGCTCACTCAAATTGACATATGCCCCCCCCTAGCTTTCACTATACGATTAGAAATCTCGTCTGTCACACCTCCGCCAAGACACACAACAACTACCCATACACATGGGTGAGTGCAGGTACAGGCTCCTGACAATCTCATGTTCATATCCCTAACTTCTTGACACATACATATAAACTCTGCAGTAGATGAATCCAATTCACTTTTGAGTTAAGTAATGGAACAGGGTGAGATAAGCTATGCTAGACTGTGAAATCAAAAGAAAACCGGATAGTGGGTTAGAAACTAGCATCTATAGCAAAACGACACATTCTAATCAACACTTAGACTTTGATTCCTCCCAACCAAATTCGGTAAAGGCAGGTTTACTTAGATGTTTATAGAATAAAGCCAAGAGAGTAACTAGTAAGTCATAAGAATTAAATAATGAAATGAAGCTGTGTGAATACTCTGCTATGATTATGACCAATAAATTGTACTCGAAAAGTAAAAACACACACATTGGATGAACAAAAAAAAGATGATTCGTGACTGCATATTTGAGCATACTGCGAAAAAGTTGTATATGAAAGGTGAGAAAGTGTTCAAATGTAAGATGATGATGCTGCAGGAGTGATCTTCTAGTTTAAATATAAGGGAGTGAAGTGGTTGAGTGTTTTCACCAGTTCACTTATTTATCGAGTTGCATCTACCCTAATGGACTGAATGCTGATGCTGTCTCAATGTGGATAGAAAAGGCACACTGAGACACTACAAACCAATGGCTGGAGACTGTTGGTGGTGGTGATATGGTTCAAATGTATTCAATCTTTGTAATCTCCCAGATTCATTAATTCCTCATGTTTTCCCATATAACCATTCTTTCTTCTGTAGACTTGTACTGACGATTATACTTCTTATGAATCACTCTTTTCTCTATTTTTGTGTGCTACAAAATGGAGTGTGGCAACTGGAATCCCTGCACTTCTGTTCAACCTTCTAGGTTGAAACTCCATCATTCAGTCAAAGGGCGTGTGTACTGCTCAGCAGTCCGCTCCGTCCTCCTTTATGCCTGTGAATGAGACATGACCATTGAAAGTGGAAGACATGAAAAGCCTGGCTAGCTATCTTTGATCATAGGTGCCTGCATTCTATCTCCCGTGTGAAGTGGTATAATAGAGTGAGCAATAATGAGGTTAGGCTTCGGCCGAGTGCTAGGTAAGGAGTGGAAATCAATCGACAAGGTTGTGAAGTTGCACCGTTTGAGATGGTTAGGATATGTGTTACGCATGCCTAGCTATCGCCTTCCTCGACGGACAATATTAAGTGACATAGGATCAGGTTGGAAAAGAGCCACTGGTGGTCAAACCAAAACGTGGACTCATCAGTCAATGAAATCCACAACAGCTAGTTTAAGCCAGCTGTCACGTAGGGAGGTGTAGACTTCCTGGTTAGGGTTCTCGGGACGGTAAAAACCAATGAAGGCTGGAGACAATTGGTTATATAGCTCAAAATCGTTCTCAATGGCTGGAGCAGATGCATCCACTCCTTGTTACTTATAATATCCAATCAAAACTATATAGTTCTTACATATTACTATTCTTTTTGTCTCATATCTCTGTTTACTGTTTCTATTTTGCATTTACTTTTACTTTCTTCTCTTGCTTTGTATGCTAAGTGAAGTGTGGCGACTCGAACTGCTGCATATCGATGCACAGTTCTACGTTGAAATCAATCAGTCAGTCATTCAATCAATCAACCTTTAGCAGTGTGATCGCCAGCCACCACTTGCTAGATCGATAGTGATCAGGTAATTGATATTTTAGAAAATCACTTAAGATAAATCAAAGTTCAGATTAGTTCAAGGATAAGTGTGTACTACTGTGAAGCGGCAGCCATTAAACGGTGCATTCCAAAAAAAATCCTGATGTTAATCTCGCCCTATCATGATGATTATATGTACGCGTTATCTTTGCAATTTCTTACCATGAATTTTACTCTTATCCATATTCTGGACCTGATTATTCTTCGACACCTCTGTTCAATTAAATTATTAAAGTAACTCTTATGTAATAAGTGCTGTTAATCTTACATCTTTGATCAATTTTCAACCTTCGTTCCTATCTGTAGAATATTTTTGAATGACTATTTCTATATCGACTAACAAGCTTAATAATAATCTTTGTCCGTTCACAATTACTCTATTTAATAGCGTGATACTAATAATAATAGCCTTTATCTTTATATGCTCAATAACTGAATCAGTTGAATATTTTGTACATTGACATTAAGATTGTTTTAAGTAACGTCATCCTGGAGAGAATAAAAGATGCACTGGATGCAGAACTTCACCAGCCCGGAACAAGCTGGATTCAGGAAAGACAAATCGTGTTAGTCAAACCTCTACATCAACTTCACCAACCCTGAAAACACCTCTACGACAGAGCTGACCGAGAATTAATTTGGAAACTGCTTCAATACTACGGCGTGTAGTGCCCCAATTATTTACCAACCTCATTCAACAGCTAGCTATATGACAATGCTACGTACCAGGTGATCCACAACGGAAAACTCAGTGAGGCGTTAGAAAGGAATACAGGCGTAAGACAACCTCGCCTAGATTACTAGGTCACTAGTATTCTAGCCGGTCCCAAGCCCGGATAAAGAGGGAGGGTTGGGGCGTGGTGCTAGCAACTCCACCCCCAAAACTTAACCAAATTGCTACTAAAACTTCAACACACAAATATATTCAAAATTCTAAAATTACAAATAGTGACCTTATTTTTCGCTGGAATCGGGGAAGTGAAATGACGCGGGCTGGTGAAAGCCTTCGGGAAGCCAGTCAGCCGATGTGTCTTCTTTCGATGAAAGCGAAAATAAGGATGGGGACGTGGAATGTTCGTACAATGTACGAAGCTGGGAAGGCTGCCCAGGTAGCCGCAGAAATGAGGAGATATAAAATGGAAGTGTTGGGAATCTGCGAAAGCAGATGGAACGGATGTGGAAGGAGCCAACTATCAACTGGAGAGACAATAATCTACTCCGGTCACCCAGAGGACAATCACGAGCACACCGAGGGAGTAGCCATCATGATGTCACCAACAGCGGCTAAAGCTCTCATGCAGTGGGAACCAATCTCCTCCAGGATAATGACAGCCAGGTTCAACTCAAAAGGAAAAAAGGTTACAATCATTCAGTGCTACGCGCCTACAAACGCCTCAGAACATGAGAAGAAGGAGGATTTCTACAGTCAACTACAAACAGTAATGGACAACGTCCCAAAGAGCGATATCAAAATCCTGATGGGCGACATGAATGAGAAACTGGGAGGAGACAATACAGGAAGAGAACTCACCATGGGTCGTGAGGCCCTCGGTGAAATGAACGAAAATGGCGAACTCTTCTCAGACTTCTGCGCCTTCAATGATTTGGTGATTGGTGGCAGTGTGTTCAAACACAGGGATATACACAAGGCAACATGGATTTCACCAGATGGACACACCAAAAACCAGATAGACTTCATTTCAATCTCAAGGAAGTGGAGACGGAGCCTACTGGACACAAGATCGAGGAGAGGAGCAGATGTGGGTTCAGACCACTATCTAGTACAAGGGACTTTCAAGGTGAAGCTGAAAGCCTCGAGGATAGCTGGGGATAGGCCACAATGCAAGTTCAACACTCACAAACTGAAGGACACAATCACACAGGACATTTTCACTGCAACTGTCAGAGCAAAGCAGGAAACACTACGTGGCACCACTGAGGAATCATCCGTGGAAGACCATTGGAACTCTCTGAAGGTAATTTTCAACGAAACGTGCTCAACGGTTTTAGGAAGAAAGAAGAAACAAGACAAGGAATGGCTCTCAACAGACACTTGGAAACTAATAGAGGAGAGGAGAAAGGTGAAAGAAAAAATGATTCAATGCAAAGATGGACAAGAGAAGGAGACGCTGAACTCAACTTACACAGGACTGGACAAAGAAGTGAAGAAGAGTGCCAGGAAGGACAAAAGACAATTCTACGACAACCTGGCTACTGAAGCTGAGAAGGCAGCAGGCAAAAGGGACCTGAGGACACTATATCAGATAACCAAGTCTCTATCCGGGAAGAGATCAACACAAGTGAAACCTATAAAAGACAACCAAGGGAACCCAATTACCAAAGAAGAAAGACAGATTAAACAATGGGCGGACCACTTCAAAGGACTCTTGAATCGACCACCACCTACAACCCGTCCAGTAATACCAACAACAGCACGTACACAACTGCAAGTTGACACCAATCCTCCAACGAAAACTGAAGTCATGAATGCAATCAAGCTTCTGAAAGCTGGAAAAGCAGCTGGACCAGATGGAATACCCCCGGAAGCACTGAAAGCGGACCTAGAAACGACAGCAGATATGCTGACTCCATTATTGCAAAAGATCTGGAAAGAAGGAAAGGTGCCTACTGACTGGAGGAAAGGTTACCTCGTGAAACTACCAAAGAAGGGCGACTTAAGACTCTGCAAGAACTGGAGAGGAATCATGCTGCTGTCAACGCCAAGTAAAATCCTGAGTCGCATCATCCTGGAGAGAATCAAGGACGCGCTGGATACAGATCTACGACCAGAACAAGCTGGATTCAGGAAAGGCAAATCATGTTCTGACCAAATTGCAACTCTACGCATCATCATCGAACAAAGCATGGAATGGCAATCAAATCTCTACCTCAACTTCATAGACTTTGAGAAGGCCTTCGACAGCGTTGACCGCGAAGTAATTTGGAAACTACTCGAGTACTACGGCGTACCGCAAATATTCATCAACCTTATTCAACAACTGTACGACAACGGCACATGTCAAGTGATCCACAACGGAAAACTCAGCGAAGCGTTTGGAGTAAAGACAGGAGTCAGACAAGGGTGCTTATTATCACCAATGATATTCCTAATTGTGGTGGACTGGATTATGCGTCAGACAGTGGGAAACGAGAAGACAGGGATATCCTGGACCGACGTGAAGAACCTAGAAGACCTGGATTTTGCGGATGATTTATGTTTGATGTCACACAAAATCGAAGACTTACAAGCGAAAACCGACAAACTGGTCGAAGAAGCAGCAAAGACAGGACTCCAGGTGAACATAGACAAGACGGAGGTTATGAAAATAACCAACCAACAACAACAACAAAGGCAGCAACATTCACCGCCAATCACCGTCAACGGGAGGGATTTGAAAGAGGTTACTTCATTCGTTTATCTAGGGAGCATTGTCTCAACTACAGGAGGAACGGACGAGGATGTCAAATCGAGAATCGGGAAGGCGAGAAACACATTCATCAACCTGAAACCAATCTGGAAATCTTCGTCACTCACCATCAACAACAAAATTCGGATTTTCAATACAAACGTGAAGTCAATTTTGCTTTACGGATCAGAAACTTGGCGAGTCACCAAGAATATTTTCAACAGGTTGCAGACCTTTATCAACAACTGTCTTCGCTCCATACTGAAGATTAGATGGCCAGAAAGAATCACAAACAAGAAGCTATGGGAACAAACAAAACAAGAACCAATTGCCCAACAAATATGCAGGAGGAAGTGGAGATGGATTGGACACTCGCTGAGGAGGCCGTTGAGTGACATCGCGCGTCAAGCCCTCGAGTGGGACAGGAAAGGGAAGCGGCGAGTGGGACGTCCAAGGGTGACATGGAGGAGATCGTGTGAGGAGGAGATGAAACAGTATGGAATAACATGGACGCAAGTGAAAAGTACAGCAGAAGACAGAAGCAAGTGGAGACGTGCAGTTGAAGCCCTATGTTCCACTAGGAACCCAAGGGAACAATAATAATAATAATAACAGGCGTAAGACAAGACTGCCTATTATCACCGATGATATTCTTAATTGTGGTGGACTGGATCATGCGTCCAACTTTACATGGGAGTGAGATGACAGGAATATATTGGGTCCCCGATAAGAAGACTCGATAAGATCTGGATTTCGCAGATGATATATATATATATATAATGTCACACAAACTCGAACACTTGCAGGCAAAAACCAACAAATTGGTTGAAGAGGCCAGTAGCGACGACAGGACTCCAAGTGAACATAGAGAAGACGGATGTGATGAAGATAACCGATCAACTACCAACAGCAGCAACAATAACAACAACCAACACCAATCACTATCAACGGTAGATACCTGACAGAGGTTACTTCCTTCACTTATCTAGGATGGACTGTTTCAACCACAGGTGGAACGGATGAAGATGTTAAAACCAGGAAGAATCGGAAAGGCAAGATACGCCTTCATCAACCTGTATTCAGTTTGGAAATCTACTGCACTCGGTAAAAACAACAAATTTCGGATTTTTGACGTAAACGTTAAGTCAGTCAGTTCTTCTTTGTGGGTCAGAAACTTGAAATGCGCGTCACGAAAAGCACTTCTAACAGATCGTGAGAGGAGGAGATAAGAGACTATGAGCAACCGTGGGCCCATCTAAAGAAGACACAAGGATAACAGAACAAGGTGGAGATGTATTGTTGAAGCCCTATGTTCCACTCGGAAACCAAGTGAACAATAACAATAATAATCAAGCTTCAGATAAGCACAGGTGTGCATGAAACCGAGGCGTATAAAACCTCCCGATAATCACCTTTCATTATGTGACCTAAGGTCAAACACTAACTGATTGAATGATTGAGCTTCAACGCGGAAATTCGCATAGGGAAGTGTAGCACTTCAAGTTGCCACATTCCATGTAACACACAAATTCTGAGAAAAGAAATTCTGAAGAGCTATAATGAACAGAAATGTCGTGGGGAAGGTAGTATAAATAATAGGGAAAAACATGAGGACTTAATGAATCTGGGAGACTACAAACAGTCAATACATATGCCGCAATGAGAACGATTTTGAGTCATATTGCCGATAATCTCCAGTCATTTGTCGTTCTTAGCATCCCTAGGATTCCAACCAAGTCATCTACACCTCACTACCTGATTCAAATGAAATGTTAAAGACTTCATGGATTGATGCTGGGTTTTCGGCTGATCACTCCTAACCGATTACCAACCCAATCTTGTGTTAGCTAGCTAACATTGCTAGACGAAGAAGGCGATGGCTCAACATGCGTAACACATTATAGGGTAGCGTCACTTTGTTGTGCTTACACGTCGGTAGAGTGGTATACTATGATTATTGACAATGAGACTAGACATACTTGGATAACAGTATATGTGTATAAACTGGTTTATGTCAAGCAATCTTCCGATAGTGTTACCCTGATGCCGTCGCCAACCTTCTGCATGGCGTGTGTTACGCACACCTAGCTATCGCCTTTCTCAACCGCCACTGTTATCTTACATAGGATCAGTTTGGAAAAGAGTTAGGGGAGGTCAAACCGATTCCTGACATCAGTCTATGAAGTCTTTAATTGGTGGTTTGAGCCAGTCACATAGGGAGGTGCAGCCTGCCTGGTTAAGATCCTCGCGATGCAAGGAACCAATAACAGGAGACTACTGTTGGTACTGCTGAAAACCGTCCTCACTGGCACAGATGCATTTACCCTTCGTGATCTCCTGTATCTATTAAACCCTCTTGTCTTTCCATGTTACTATTCTTTCTCCCTCACATTTTTGCTTATTATCGTTCTTCTGAATCTCTCTCCTCTCTCTGTCTTTTGTCATTACTTCGTACGTTTCATGGAGTGTGGCAACTCAAACAGCTGCACGTCTGTGCAAACTTCTATGTTGAAACTCAGTAACTAATCCAAAGTGGTTTACTGGTTGTGGCATAGTTACAGGTTAGACTGAGAACAGTTACCACCTTCGTCAAAGTTACTCAGACCATGGAGAAATCTGAAGGAGAAGTAGGACTACTAGCAGAAAGAGATGTAACAGCAGCAAGGTGTTCCACACAGTTGACCAGCAAGCAGGTTACTGCTGTCTTCCCACTCTAGACAGGAGGGAGGTTTACAAAAGTTCAGTCCTGAAAATCGCACATATCAGTTGAGGTTTTGGTGTAAAGTACAGTGTGGTTAGGCTTGAGGTTTTTGTCGTACGCACAAAAACTCCACAAATCGCAACAACACACCACTTTATCGTTTGACCTCTGTGGTTACACAAACATAATCCGTTTCTTATTCTTCATATACTTCAAGAACAAATCAACTACTTCAGTAGTGAGGTTGCATAATCCCCTTATTTTTCCTTAAGCTTCATTACTACTTTCTACCACTACTAATAATACTATTACTAACACTATTGCTTTTATTTCCCCCCTTAACAATGTGATAAATTCTAACAGCTCTTCGTGAAACGGATCTTTATAAATGAAATGGGCTATGTAAGGTTAGTGTTAAAAATCTGAGTATGTGTCAGTGGATGAAACAATAGAGACCTATAGATTATCAACCATGCACTCTGACAACTTATCTACGGAGTCCAGACACTAGTTAGGCTGGTTCGTCAACAGTTTCCTATGATTCTATCTCTGAATGGTCCTACAATTAATGACTGTCTGAACACCTACTCTGGTGACAAGATCATTCTAAAGCTTATCTAGATTAATCAGCTTCTCCAGTCGTAAATTACAGTGACGATGTCATAAAATTCATTCCTCCAGTCAATACTAAATTTCATCAGTGGCACAGACGAATTCATTCATTGAATCATCTGATAATCTGAGTTAAACAGTGGCCAATAAAACCATCAGTCGCCATTTTTTGTGTCAATTTTCAGCAAAGATTAAAAAAAGACACAATAAAAACTGTACTGACTATGATCTGATCGTATAAATTATACGGCACTTACTTGAGTTACAACATCACTGCCATTCTCCAGACACAGTGCTACACTAGCCCCTTGTAGATCTAATAAATCTACCACTGTTCCAGCCAGTTCCAATAACGACTTCATATAGGTGAACCAACCATTTTCATGAGCTTCTGTGAATACATTCATTAACTTGGCATTATTAATGTTTGTCGCAGCTGCTGTTGAAACAGTCTCTGACTCCACATTCTCCCCACTGTTGCTGTTATTGTTATTATTATTGTTAAGCTGTTGGCTATGATGACTGGTATGCGTGAAATGTGATCCTATTGTGGCACTATTTCCAGTTGTATTAGAGGCATGATCCAGCGATACACCAGCGGTGGTAGCTGCTGCAGACAGAAGTTTTGTCGCCGATTTCGACCTATTCGAATCATTCGGTAGACAAGCTTTGAAAAATCCTTTGAAACATCTAGTCACAGTTGATGCACTCGGATAATCGATTGGTGATAGGAGAACAGACGATGAATTGAATATTTTTGACATCTATGTAGATATTTTAATGAGAAAGAAAAAATTGTGAAAAAAAAACAACCCAGGATAATTCAACATCTCTGAAATAGAGGTGGTAAGCGGTGCTAAGCTGAGTTTATTGATTTCACAGCTTTCAGGGGGTGAAAAACAGTCATTATCTATGTGAAGTAACTTCCTTACCAAGCAGCTCACGTAACTTTACGCCAGCTGAATAGCTAAACATAAGTTAGAAATTAGTTATAAAACGCCCAATTATCAGTGTCCTGAACTAAATACAATGAAGAGTCTGGAGGAATTAGATAGTGGGAGGCAATCGGTCACAAGAAGCCTCGTACATAGGTTTCGTGTTTGTCAGCACTCACCAGTCATCAAGGTGTATCTGCAATCTTGAAGGAACTCATGCCACTCTCCTCTGCTGCAGTCAGAGACGTTACCACCACTTAGCTTTGATTGAACACTAGGTACTAGTAAGTCCCTTGTTTCCTATGGATTGGATTCTATGAGTCAAGTTTGCAATATGGTCAAAGGTTGTGTGACGTTCAAGATTGCCGATACGCCTTACTGACTGGTGAGTGCCAACAAGCACGAAACTTAGGTCTGAGAGGGCTTCCTGCCTCCAACCATCTAATAACAACAATTCTGAGTACACTGTGATGGTGAATCCTTCCTCCAGTACTGCATTACTACAAAGTAATAATGTGTAAGTGACATAGGCTATATGAGAACTGTAGATATTATACCTAGACACATCGGAATTCAAACCTAAAACAGATGAATAGTCGTCAGAAAGACTGTTTTGACAGAGTAATAGTAAGCATTGTATGTTATGAGCTGACAGTTTTACAAACTACTACCTCAGAGTTACATGTTCAGTGGTGGTTAGCAGTGGAATCCAATACAAGCACTTCGTCACATTTGAGACTCGTCATCTGGATTTACCTTAATCTTAATAAACACTTTATATAATACTTAGGATTCACATGCCGAATTAAATGAATCATTATATACCAGGAGGATGTAGGAGATTGCTTCGAATGGTATTCAACTTGCAGACAGAATTAATTTCTTTTAAACCGATCAAGGGTTTATTTGCAGGGGTTCGACTGGTTTCAGATCAGATCACGAAGTAACATCAGTTAGAGAACCATTGGGACCAAGATGGGCACTGGACAGTTGCGAACTAACACTTGAAAATCAATCTATGGTGGTCACCAGTGTCTGGCGGTGGCACAAACCTCACGAGTTATCGGATTTCGTTCCAGTGGTAGAACGGACAATAGATTGGCTTCATAGCCTGAATGTCATGAGTTCTATCACCCCCACCCTCACTAGGCTCATGTGTATACAGACTGGAGAGTAGTTGCAAACTAGGACCAAACAGCTGTTCTCTAACTCATGTCAATTCGTGCTTTAAATTAAAAGTCACACACAAATTGTACACAGTGTCCAAGACAGAACATTTTCAAAATTACCAAGAATTTATGAACCAATACTTGAGATATTTGAAATGCAACAAATTGATTACAGTGCCTAGGCGGAAATTCAAATGATTGTCGGATGGAGTTACTATATCATGTTTTATTCACGACTGGTTGCAGGTTTCACCACGAGTTGATATCAGTTAGAGAACCATTGGAAAACCTGGGTCCATCAAGTCTGGCAAGAGAATAGTTACTCCCGCATGACATTGGCTGGCAGTTGTGCTACATATATCACGAATTGACAGAAGTTGGAATTCATGAGCTGGCTATTGGATCAGGTTCCAGTAACTGAATGATCTAGGAGCTCACTTTGTGTCCGAAAAGCCCTGGGTTGAGAACCCAGTAGATGCGTACTGATGAGGATGCACAGAACAGGACGAAACAGCCACACAGTGCTCCCCTGTCTGGTTCGCCAATGATTTCCTAAATGATTTCAACCCATGATCAGACCTATAACCAATCAAGTTCCTTCAAACCAACCAACCCGATAATTATTCATAACAATATGAATTAGTTAACGCTGTCTATATCGATTATTGAAATCAAATTTTTTTTAATGCGAAGAAAACGCACCCCCTCCGTTTAAACTAACCTTAGTCATTTGTTTTTCACATAATATATACAAAGAGATTGGCCTATTGATGACACCACCCGGCAAACAACTACCAGCAACACCAGCGGTGCCTAGAACAGAAGCTGTATCATGCGCCGGATGATTTGGATGCTGTGGTGGGATATTATTCTGTGATGCAACACTATCCATACTGATGACATCATCAATACCAGAGGCAATACTACCCATTGGAGAAAGTCCTGAACGTGTTAAACGACGACGTGCAGCAAACATTCCAATTCTTCCTAAAGCTATAAAGGACGAAGAAGAAAACAGAAAGAATAATACATAAAGGTGAAGTATTGATTGATTGACAGTTGAATGAGAAATGACAGATCGAAGGTTTTTGGAGATTTTCAGTGAACATCGTTGTGAATTCAGTGTGACTACTACTATACACAATTAGAATGATAAAACATACCTGTTTAATTCCCCAGTAAAATTCATGCATACTAAAACCAGACAGACAGTACAAAATAATGTTACAACATTAGCAGGAGCATGTACCTAACTGGACTCACTCTTTTTGCCGCCCCACTCGAAGTTATCTATAAGTTCGTGTATTTGGGGAATCATGTGAGTGCTGGCGGAGGTGTGACAGACGAGATTTCTAATCGTATAGTGAAAGCTAGCGTGGTATACACCAATTTGAGTGAGCCACCTACGGCGCCGTGGCGAAGTCAGTGGTTATCAAAGGCCGGGTTTACAATACTTCGGTGAGCTCAGTTTTGCTCTATGCCTATGAAACGTGGTGTCTCCTAGCTGAAGATGTGCATCGACTCTGAGTGCTCGATCATCGTTGTCTCCGTAGAATTGCTTGCGTCCGATGTCATCTTCGCGTGAGTGATTCCAATGTCCTGCAGTCTGTTTGGACACACTGAAGACCACCATTCATTGATTCATTTGTTGAGTGTCGTCATCGGGAAACACCGGCTTCGGTGGTTTGGACATATGTTACGAATGTCATCCGAGAGGCTTTTTATCGGTATCTGTTCGCTAACCCTGGGACTGGATGAAAAAAGCAGCTGAGAGGTGGTTAATCAATGACGTGGCGTTGTGGGATAAAGGATATTTGTCTTAGGTTGGTATATCACGACTCTCTAGTTCGGGTCCGAGGGGTAGTTCGAATCGGTGTCTCGGAACGCTATCAGATGATATGACCAAGAATGGCAATCAATGGCAAACATGCTTCAAATTCATTCTTTTTTCCTCTTACTGAGAGTAATTCGACAAATTTTGATTGATCTTGTTAAATACAGTTGCTTCACTTCTGGATGAAGTCTTTTTTCTATTCTCTCTCTATTTTATTTATGTATTATTGTTTTATGATTATCGTTTGGTACATATTTTTGTTGCCTATATTGGCACCAGGTTTCGTGTTTTAAATAAAAAATATACCTAAAAGCTACTTGGAATTTCAACCACAGCTGACTAACATAGACCACAACCATTGTGGAAGGGTTAGTGATACCACTTGGCTACTCAAACCTTGGTAATTGGGGCGCGGGGTTCGAACCCATGACTTACTGGTTGGAAGTCGACAGTCTAAATCAATCTAGCCGGAGCTCTATGAAGCCATTAACTAGCCAGAAATCGAATTAGCAGCTACGGCGATTATCTGAAGTATGATTGACTAAGGTTAGAAAGTTCATCACCTCGAATCCACGCTATTCCCCACCCCACCCCCAGTGGCTGAATGGTTAAAAGATTCACCTCGTACCTTGAAGCTCCTGGATTCCATCCTCTTTGTGACAGTCGCGGAAGCGCACTGTTGAAGAGTCCCAAACTAGGAAGAAATAACAGTTCTCCAGTCCTCCCTGGGTTTTTATGGTCCACGCAGATGGTCAGGTTTCGATTCCCGATCGTTGCACTCACAGACCACACCTAGTTTACTGGCCAGTATTAAACCCGGAAAGAGGGAAGGTTGGGTGTGGGGTTGGCCATCCTAGGCCACTCCATAAAATAATACCACTGTCACTGAAACTTCAAGTGTCAGGTCCTGTGTCCTAGTCGGAAAACATATAACAGAGAAGATTTGTAACTCAGGTGGATAACTTGATTTAGTTGTGTTCTCCCCAAGCCGGTTTATTTAATCGTGATGTTTTCATTGTCCTCCCTTCTAAACAACATCGCTTCAGTGCAAGATTTAATATGGTGAGGTTAACCTATTTAAATTCCTCATGAATGCCAAGGAATTCCTAGAAGCCTGGTACTCAGACGATGAATCAGCCATTAACAGACACATTACTTAGTATAGATCAAATTTACCAAGTAATTAAGAATAAATCACATGATAATAATTCCAAATCAATAAATATGATCAATAAAAATGTGAATTAATAACCAATCACAACAAAGACTGTCAGGAAATACAATTAGATCAAATAAGTTCATTTCACATTAAAGATTGCGCTGAAGATGTTTCCTATAAGGAGAATGAAACGTTCGCAATTATATATATATATATAAGGTTAGTGTACAACTACTGGTCGATAAGATGGCCTGATATATTACAACATAATTCTTCAATCAGAGGGATATTTACTATATAATAAGCATGAATTTGACTGAATCAAGAAATTGGAATTAGAAGAGGATTTAGTATTTGAACGTTAATCAAATCAAAGTTTGTATTAAAAAGACAACTTCTTGTACATGACATGTGACATAACTACAATCATCCTAAAACATGTATGTTATCAAATAATATCCCCCACCACAATAAAAAAGGCAACAATCGACAATGAAATAACATCTAAGATAGACAGATAGACAGACAGACATACGATTTATTCAAACAAATATAATCAATCAATAAAATCAATAATAATGATTATGAACCAATGGAAAGAAGAGATTTAATTTGGAGAAGACATGCAAATTAGTTCTTGTAACGAAAAATAAAAAAGAGAGAAAATTTCCCAATACTGAAATTTATTCACATTTCCCTCCACTGAAATTACTGGTAATTTTATTTTCATTAGAGTAGAGAATATTATTCTCTGTCGATTGATTACAGTTCTGATCACATTTTATGTATGCTTGAAGATAATTATTAACGCTGACATCTGACAGTGCAACACTTAAACAGACATTAATATAACTGATCTCTCGAAAAGAATATTAAAAATTTCACAAGACTGGTTACTGAACAAAGAATATTCTTCTCGATAACTTTCGTCATCAGGTTCACCACAGTTATATATCCATAATCATGAACAACCTTATCAGGAAATTCCCACTTTTTATTGCTGATTTATGGATGATGCCTTCATTCTTTATGAAAACGATTCGGACAGAAACACAATAATAACTCAATTCAATGAAGTACATTCTGCTATGAAATTCACTTAAGAAGACGAATCCCCAAAATAGAATTACCTTCCTAGTCGCCCGTCTTGCAAGCAAACCAAATGGTAGTATAGAGAGGAATTTGCATAAGGCAAGCGCATATGGACAGGACAATATACACATTTGCATAGCTTTGTTCCTCTCCAGTACAAAAGGAATGTAATAAGGACACTCAGCTACATGATCAGAACTATGTGCTCAGAAGACGTAATTGAAAATGAACTTAGGATTGTATATGACACGCTGATTGGAAATAGCAATCCAGAAAAATTCATCAATAAACACATGACCAGGAAAGCAGAAAAGGACAATTCTCCATCTGTAAATAAGGATCCTTTATACATACGACTGCAATTCAAGCCTTACTCACCTGATGAAATTATTACTAACAAGTTAAGAAAATCTGTTCAAAGAACTTTTAACGCTGGTAAACCACAAGTCATGTTTTATACACGACCAATGATGATTCCTCGATTGAAAGATGGAGTACCTAGACTAGCCACTTCTAACTGTGGAGCGAGTTATACTGACCGTTGTTCTAGGAATTTGATTTTTGGTGCTCGCTCGGGAACACCAGTGCGGCTAAATAAAAGTGTAGTAAAAACCACCAACAGCTCGACATTTTGGATCCTCCGGCCACAAGACTAGTTAGCATTGAAGAATCTTTTTCTATCATCGATCAGGTACCAAATAAATCGCCAAAAACATCTAGGTACCGCATACTCCAAAATGTAGAGGCTGCTGCAATTTACCTATAACAACCGGTGCACTGTGAGTAGATAAAAAAGGTCCAACCACCACTGCTATTACCCTGGCCTTCAATGAAGCCTACAGATCCATGAATTCTGTATTGTTATTAATTTTCCTAATTTGTCTGATATTCATTGTAGTGTTATGTTGATACATATTACCAGACTTACAGATGCTATTGAACTGTAATATATCAATATTACTGATTTGATGTCATTTAAACATTAATGTTGTTAAAAACCTTAATTCTTTCATCATTATGGATATGTAACTGTAGAACCTGATAGAGAATTTATCGAAAAGAATATTCTTTGTTCAGCAATCAGTCTTTTGAAATTTCGAATGGGCATTTTTGATCAATTAAAAGAATATCATTTTTGCCGACCTGCCTAAGACCTTTTAAAGAGAATGAATTCAACTACCCTGAACAAACTTCCCAAATACCAACACCGGTCTATGAGTCAGGTGATGATGATGCGCTCACTACTCAGTTGTAGAGGCTAAAATGTGGTGGGACAGGATTCGAACCCAAGACCGACTGCTGGCTGAAAGTCAACCAACCAATGAAATAGTGCAGTTTAGATTTTTAAGCATCAGTCTTACAGTTGATCAATAGACAACACAAACTGAACGAAAAACTACGACAAAAGCAACAAAAGTAGTTTAAACCAACGGAAGCAGAGTTAACACACTACAGTACATACAGATTTCGTATTATTAAAGCGAAGCAAACTTCTCACTTTATAAAAAGCCAAGCATCAACAGTATTAACGCTAAATTATATACAATTAAAACAACAGTTTAAAAGAGAGCCGCCAGTGAGTAATCCTCAGGTATGATACAGACACATCAAAGGATCACAGTGATGATTAGATAAATTTCATAGGTCTTTTAAGGCAACATTCCTAGCGGGAACTTCAAAAAGAGTGTGGATGATTGTAATATGATAGATTTGAGGGCATTAAATCCATATTTTAAGTTACAACTTTTCAGATATCCATCGACGATCATAATCGCAGTAAAAATTGTCTATGTTGTCGTAAGGATCCAAACAAAAAGATGCACTACTGAAGGTCAGAGGTGTATATAAATAAATATACGAAAGTCTGTCGACGGCCGGTTATGCGGAGGAATTAAGGGGAAAATCAGA